GGGAATACCGGAAGACGCAGACAAGCAGCTCCCTCAATCCTTTGTGAGCTACAGACTTGCGAGCTGCCAGCGAGATCATGGGACTTGTACTCTTCGGTGGTGCCCCCGGAGCTCTGATGCCCAACGCCCTCGAAACCTTCAATTGGTGAAGCGTAACCCCCACCCCGAACAACGCCCTCCAGCCAATAGAGTCGGGGGCCTAGCTTCCCGGAGTTGAAGCACGGAGCTTTTTCTGACTTCAAGCTCGCCTAGAGTCGTGGGCCTTGAGCCCTGAAGCTCCTCCTGAAGAAGGGTGCTTGTGATATGGTAGGGTGGTACAGGCTTTCCATTGAGGTGTCCCCTGGACACCTGGACAGGAAGAAACCCTGGAGACATCTTAAACCTTGAAAAGGCTCAGGAAGCCTTCAAAGGTATCTTAGGCTTTTCAGGCTCAGAGCCTGAGGCAGCGCACAAGACTAGGAGTGGAGCGCTCGCTTGGAGCTGCAGGTGGCTCTCTGTCCTCGCCCGAAAAACTTTATTGACACGGCTGCAAAAGCCGGGGGTGGTCAGAACTAGTTTCAGAATCCAACATTCAGAATCCAAAGTTCCGTATCGAGCGCACACTAGTCATGAAAGAACTTGGTTGGGCTCTGTTGGCTTATGCCAGTAATCTCTACCAGTATGGACGATTCCGTTCTCCAAACATCGACCTCCCAACTGGCCAAGCCGGAACCAAGGTATTGGGGAAATGCCAGATCTCTGCCGTTTTGCTTGGCCGGCCATTTGGTGCCTATGGCTGCACCGGGTTGTTGCGGCATGTTGCGAGATTGAGGAGCGGCATCCAAGGCAAGGCACCTTAGAGGATCCGTGCGCGAGCTGCGCACGCGCAGTGCTGTCGTGCAGATTTTCTGGGAGACGTCTCCAGTTCCAGGCCTTCGAACCTATGGATCAAAGTTTGCTAAACAGTGAAGCACACAGGGCTTGGCCCCAACATAGCACCTCGGCAGGTCAAGAGCCGCAACTTGGCCCTGTGATTGGGACCATCCGCATGCAGGCCAACAGCAAGCAGCCAAGCATTCGAGATCTCCCACATTCCCGTTACGCAATCAGAAGGACCTGCTTGCTGCGTATGGCAAAACACACCCCCGACGACAACCACGGTTGCTTGGCATGCATTGCAGAATGCAGGGAGAGAGCATGAACTTGCACGCGCAGCGTGGGGGCAAACCAGCTTGAGAGGTGCGAGGACTTCCTATGTGAAGGCCAGCTGGTTTGTGTGAATGTCATTGGGGCAACAAGCACGGCTTCTCGGCAGAAGAGACATGAAGAGACCACCAGAGAGTGGGGAGTCAAAGCACACTACTCAGCACTCCCTATGCAATGCTTGCAAGAGGTTAGGAGGACAGACCCCGGTCAATTCCATCCTAGAAGATGATTGCCGCGGGATGCTTTGGCAGAATGCTTGTCTTTCTGCTGAGAGGTCCCCACGGAAGCAGTTGCACAGGAGGTGGCGCGGCTATGGTAAAAGTGACAGAAGTACCAATGGAATCTCAGGCCAATGAGCCGGCCCTCGCCCTCGCGCTCTCGACTTACCAACCGGCACTGTCATGGTCTCCACCCCCGCCCTGCGCAGGCCGAAGATTGCTTTGCAAACGGCTTTGGTCCGGTGCGGTGCACGATGAAGCTTGCTAGCGCTGCGAAGCCAGGGCGTGCGCCGCCGGTGGAGTGGAGGCGTTTCCTTGACAAGCACGGGCTTGTTGTGGAATCTGCCAACCTCAAGCAGTCTCCGGTTCCTTGCCAGCCTGCAAGCAAACTTAGTAGGACCATGCGCCCAATTTTGCGCAGTAGCAACAGCATCACAGTGGTGGTATGGCAGAGACAGGGCGTGCAATTTGAGGCTGAAGCCATCGAGGTGTTTCGAAGAGAGTTCCGTGGCAGGATTTCAATGTGATCACAACTTGCAGCAGTGACAGTAGCAGTAGCAATCCTGAGGTTGGGGAGCCAACGCACCCCAGCAACTGAGACACTTGCTGCCACAATTTGGGAGCTGAAGCTTGGCAGCACTGTGGAGATGTCTGCTGATAGTGCGAACTTTCCGTGGCAGCAGTTTAACAGTTCTAAGATGTTCATTGAGGACTCAGACGGGGCAAGACATGGTGGTGTCTGGCGCTTTCCCAACTGCAGCATAGCAGCACACAAGTTTTTCTGTAACCTTCTGGAATCCCGTCGGCTCTGGGACTTTTGACGTCAAGATGCTGCGTTTACAAAAGGTGCGAATAGGTCGGCCAGCACTACTCTGTGCAGGAAGAGCGGCTGATTCTTCAGAGTCTCTTGGCTCTCCGGCATGTGGCAGCCCTACCGCGAAGCCCCTCTCGGCAGCCGGACGTCTTGATCCTGTGCAGCAAATCGTTTTCCGAGAGGCCTGGCCGCAAGTCCAGAGCATGCATGTGAAAGGTTGAAGCACTTTCTTTCAAAGCACATACTTGTCTTGCAAAATGACGGCAATGCATATCATTTCCTGCTAACTTGTGCCGGGGGATACAAGTTGCAAACCCCCTTCGTGGCCTGGCCACTGCATCCCTCTCACGACCCTTCGGCATCAGCACAGCAAGTCAGAAATATCAATACCTTTGAGACGTCTTCTGCTGAGAAATATAAAATTGTTGATTCATCAAGGTCATTGCAATCGTGCTTTGCGTTATGCTTCAATGGTTATGCTTCTTCATCTTCTTCTTTGCATACTTGGTCTTTCATTTATTTCCACCACCTTGCTTCTACTTGTACTATAGTTTTTCACTACCATACAATATCATTGTATTGTTTTTGCTTCTACGACGAATTGCTACTACGACCACCACCACCACCACCGCCACCACCACCACCACCACCACCAGCACCACCATCACCACCACCATCACCACCGCCACCACTCTGCGACCGACGACGACGACGACGACGACGACGACGACGACGACGACGACGACGACGACGACGACCACCTCTACCACTACCTCTGCCACTACCACTAGCTAGCAGCCTTTCGTGATTTGAGATAGGCTGGAGTTGCTGTGAGACCTCGACTTGACCCTGCGGAGTGGGTGCCGTTGGCAAGTGCAGTGCGGGTGGCAAAAAGCTACCACTACAACCTTCCCCAACCCTACCACGTCTATCGGACTATCGCGCGCACCTCTCAAGTGAAGGAAGTTCTCTGGATAGACGTCGGGAACACTCTTCGTCATTTATCGAGTTTGGGGGTCAAGTTTCTTGCTTCATGGGTTTTAAGGACATTTTCGCGTTCGTTCTTTCTGCATATCAAGAACTTAGACAAGCACAACCCCGAACACTTGGGTTCGCTTCGCTGCTATAACCACCTTTGCTGAAACCTGCCGCGCAGTGCAGGTTCAGAAGCACGTGTCGGCAGGGATCATCTTCTGACGGCCAGCCCTGCAAGCGTGTTCTGAGACAGATCCTTTGCTGATGTCAGCCGAAAGAAAGAACTGTGCAGAGCTTTCGCTGAATGTCATAGATGAATCATGTTCACGTTGCAAGGACGCTTTCAGGCACCACGTCTGAGATTCTCCGAAAGGCAAGGCCGCCTGGTTGTATTCAGTTTTGTCGTGCTGCTCTTTCTGGTTGGGCGATTTGGGCGGTTGATTCGCAGACTTTGTTCGGGCGCATTATGCTTTGAACCTCCAGACCGAGGCTCAACCCTGAGTTGCTTTCTCGGGTTTCGCTTGTCATTGTGGACATGAGCCTTGACTCAAGCGGTTTACTTGGGGTCTGAGTGCGATGCGCGGCACAAGGGACTCTTTAGAATCTCTCTGAACTGAGGTTGCCAGCTGCCAAGCGAACATTAGAGCAGCTAGAGAAAGTGCTTGCCTTCATGCCGAATGGCAGACGCCAAGCTTGAAGTAAGGGTCTTCGTAGACAGCTTCTTTCTCACATCAACCTGAAAGTTTTTCTGTTTCTATGTGCTTCGCGAAGAAATCGCGAAGGCTCCGGAGCAGCTTAGCCCAGCAGAAAGCACCCCAAGCACCCCCCTAGACCATCACTGCAAGGACGTTGGGGACCCAGCTATGTGTTTCACCGGGAGACCTTGCCGGCGAACGGGACTGTGGCAGAGACTGCGCTGGTCGACGCCCCCGCTCGCTTGCAGCTTGGACTTCATCGAGCCAAGAATGGTCCCTTTCATTCCCTTTCCCTGATTCAACAGGGCGGCACACTGCGGCACATGCGCTGAGCACGCGCGTTGGACAGGCAATTTGCTAACGGCCTCTGCGGCGCCAGGTTCTCAGCAAATGCACAGAAGCCGGAGGGCCCAACACAAAATATTACGAGCAACATCCAACAGTGCAACCTAAGTGCGAGATAGTGCCAGGCTCATATCCGCATGCAGATGGTCAGCGATGACAGCGCCAAAGAAGCGGCTGCATTGATATCGCAAGTGCACGCCAGGCGGGCGCCTTATGGCATGATATGGCACATCCGCTTCATGTCGGTACCTCCCCCCCCTCCCCCCCGCAGGGTTAACCCCCCACCGTCTCACCACTACCCTACACCCACGTTCGGTGTTTGGCTCGGCGGGTGGCAAAAAACCCACCTCTAAGACTCCACACAGGGCATAGACCAGTGGTGGGGAGAAGCTGTCACAAGAGCCAGTGGTTTGAGCGCTTTTACGACACCAGGCAAAGCATCCTGGTGTTCACTCATGAAGAATCGGCTCTGCTAGATGAGCTGCGCAGAGTGGTTTCAGCGCATGCCCTGAAGTCCGAGAGGCCGGGTTCATGTTGCGTCCAGCTTGCGTCCATCAACAGCACATGCCGAGTTATGAATTCGACTTTTCGGTAAGCCATCTTGAAAGGCTCCGTATCAGGAACAGCGCCACGCCGTGGAGGTTGGAACAGTCTCAGAGTGTGAATCCTACTGCCTCATCAGAAGAGACCCCCATCCTTCCTCCTTCCTCAGAAGGTCCAGCGCAGTGCTGCTCCGCTTGATGGGGTTCGATTCTAAGGCTTCGATATCGTCCTACACGTGTCCCCTCCACCGAGTGCTCGCGAGTATCTTCGACGTTCGCGGCTAAGACTGTCGGAAGTCGGAAGGTCCCTCTCCCATCTCCTGCCTGTCCCCTCCAGCAATGGTATTGGCTTTCAGGCTTGGCTTCGTGCTCGAAGGAGGCCATCTCTCTGGTGACACGCTCGGGCAGCGCGGGAACGCCACGTCCTTGGTTGGAACAGCCTCTGCTCATCCCAACAAGGACAAATCCCAGCCCAGGCTCTCACGCAATTCTGCGCATTGAGTTTGAGCTACCCTTCTGCTTCAAAACGGTACGTCAAACAAGCTTGACAAGCAGGTCAACAAAAGCTCGGGCTTCGTGCACGAGACCCGGAAAGAACCCCGCAAATGCCCATCCCTCCCTTTCACAAAGCTGAATTCAGAAAGAAACCCAAAGCGTCAGGGGATGATGCCCAGGAAACTTAGAGTTGGATGTTGTGTGAGGAAGCCCGTTCACGTCGCAGCATGGTGCAGCAGCATCTTATTATGGCGGCGTTGCATGTTCCGAGCTTCAGGTTCGTCATTGGTTCATACCAATCCAATTCTGATGCCTGCAAAGCCCCTAAGCTCGCTGAGGGTTCACCAATCTTGGGCAAAGCACGTACTGGACTTTGCGACAGGCCGGTAGAAGGAACCGCACCGAAGCACGTGTAACCTGGTCCACATGGTCCGCATCACATGGCTCCGGGAAGCTCGTAACAATGGTTTGTGAACCTCGGCTGAAAGCCTTCAGATGCGGAGCTGGCCAAGCTGCAGCGCCTTGCTCCGCTCGACAGGCTGGGGTTCGGTAGCGGGAGCTCGTGGGACTTCGGCGGTATTGACAAGCTTGTGTTGCAGTGCTGCTTGTGCGTGGCTTGGTTGACGTCGGGAGTCGTGGCTCAGCTTCTCTTACAGACCCTCCTGGGCTGCCAGCAAGCCAGGGTATGCCAGAGTTAGCCAGATGCGCAGGCCCCGTGGGCAAGGCGAAAATGTGGAGAATGTGGAGAGCGAGCAGCTGGAGGCGGACAAAGGCGTAGACCCTGTCGAGCTGCAGCTTGGATCGCAACAATTCCATTTAGCAAGTAGAGTTTGCTCGATCTGCATTCACCTGCCAAATGGGCATGGCAGCATGGCCATACGGTTAGTCCAAACAGCGCAACACATTGCCCTGCGGGCTTTGCCGGCTAACCTCGCGATGTGTTCGACTGCAGCCAGTCGCGGGGGCTCCCACAGCGGGCTGCAGCGCACTCAACAACTTTCAGCCGGGCAACAACCAGACCAAAGCTGACCCCAAATCATAAGGATTATGGATTGGAGGGATTGGGGAACAGGACTAGCACATTGAAAACACAAACTGCATCCTTAGTGTTGGCTCAGCCTCCTGCTGCGCTGAATGTCCCCTTATCGTTGCTACACCTGCTTCATGACAAGATCTGCAACAAAAAGTGAACACTTCACTTGCCAACATGTTGTTAAGCTGATGAGTTCAAGACAGACACCCGAGACTTACACGCGCAGGGTTTTGGGGGACTGCTTTGGCCCCAAGCAGACCCCATTTTGCTTTGCTCCCATCCCCTACCATTTCACACTTCACCACAACACCTCCCAAACATGCCCTTAGCAAAGGGGCGTCTTGATGGTGTCTTAAGGCTTAGGATGTTTCTTGATTCCTGAGTTCTTTAGATTTATTCGCCCGTGTACCCAAACCAGGCACGCAGCGCCAATTTGCCGACTGCTCTTGAACTTTCCGCCTCTTATGGTACTTGTGCTTTCTCTCTAGAATGAGCAGAAAAATTGCAAAGCTTGCGGTGGGCGCTGCTGTGGAGTTTCCCGGCGAAGCGTTTGGTTCACTGCGAAGTATGTAGCGTCAAGCGCGGCAACAAACTCATCCTAGACATCACTTCGACGAAATAGTGGTGGGCACAAATATGCTGGCAATCGGAATTGCAGCTTCATTGCAGATGGAGGGCACCAATGATGTGTACCTTGAATGCGAGTGTGGCCTGCGTATTAGCCATTTCCGGAAATGGCCCTTCCTGTTGTTCCAGAAACTCAGCAACCCCTTCCGCTCGCATCCAAAGATGGTCGAGGAACGGTGAAAAGAAACGGTTTCTCAGTTTCCATTTCTAGCTTTCGGGCCAAGAGCCGCAGGGCTGAGTGGAGGGAGTTTTCGGGGCTGGCCGCTGAAAATGAGGAGCCGGAGGCCGAATTTTCAGAAACTGCCCCCCCCCCCCCCGTATCCTAAATCGTTCCATGTCCCCTGTCCTGCAACCCTAGTTTCTTAGACAATGGTTTATACAAGCACTCACACCTAGCTAGGGTCTGATCAATCTTCCGAAGCATTTTCTTGTGAAGTCTAAAACTCCACGCCGAAGTTCCCAGCCAACAGTGCATCATAGTGCATCTTGCCTGAACTTGCAGGTCCCACTCATTCCAGAAGGCCAGTGCATGCGTTTATTTGTGAGGTGCCGCAAGGAAATCGATCGGGATGCAAAAGAGGAATTCGAACATCAAGTAATCAAGGGTTTGCATCTGCCTCAGGATTACAGTCTCCACGCAGGAGAGGACGTAGAGCCGCCGTGCCCAGAATTTCATACTGATGCATTGGTGTCATATCGCAGCTTTACACGTACATGTTTTGCCTCCCAGGGTGTTGTGAGCCACCCAGGTTGGTTTGGCGAGCCGGAGCAGAGACAGACCTGTTTGAGGATGGCTTGTAAAAGCTGCTGCACCCGCTTTGCTGTTGAGACGTTAGCTTTGGGTCAACACTTTGTGTTCTTTTGCCTATGCCAGACTCAGCCTCACTCTGCTCCATCAGCTAGAGGTTCCCGCACGATCTCGGCGCTGACAGAGGCAGGCAACGGCAGGGACACAGATCCGGTGCATGCTTGTTAAGGCCCCATGAAACAACACCCGCAGGGCCGCTTTGCTTGCCTGGCCGCAGCCGTTTCAGATCATGCTTTGACTGTGGAGGGGCCTGCACCAAGCGCAGGCGCTGGAGGGAGCCTAAAGTACCTTGTGGTCTGGTGCATCATAATGTCACGGTCTGCCGGTACACGCACATATTGTACACCAAGCAGCATCAGAACGACTATGCCAATGTAGGCTGGCCTCAAGTGTTGTGGGATAAGCAGTTTGATGAGAACAAGAAGCCGAAAGACAAGAACTGGGAAGCGAGGCTGCTGCCATTTCACCAAATCAAAACTCCTCCTGCTGCTGTTGCTGCTGCTGCTGCAAGCATACCGGGCTTGAGGCACATCAGATTCTGCTCAATTAATGTCAACCCTGGGTAGTGTGCACACCTCAGACAGCAAGGCTTCAACACATGATTCTGACCTGACTTGCAGCCCGTTAATAAAAACAACGTTTTGGGGCTCCAGTGTGAGAGTCGAAGCCGAGCTGAGGCTCCGAGCTGAGGTCCCTTCCGGCACCTCTTTTACAGCTTCGCCTGAACTTTCGCGGGGCCTTCGGGCCTAGTCAGCCCCGAAAGCTTAGTCGCTTCAAGACCACCGAGCCTTACTTCGAAGCCTTCATTTTTCAGGATCTCTTGTTCTTCCCGCCAAAACTTGCCGTTCGACACCTCAGATGAATCCTGAAAAAAAGGCCCGCTGACGCCGCCCCCGCCCCCAGAAAGCCTCGGCCTCGGAAAGTGAACTGGAAGAGGAACAGCTTCAGAATTGAAGGCCTCAAAGTTTAAAGACTTGGGAAGCCAGAGTAAGGGTGTGACCCTCAAAAAATGACCCCAGTTAGCTCTTCACAGCACAGCAGTGCAATGCCAGGCCCGATGTCCCGAAATGAGTTTTCGGCTCCTGCTGTTTGCGCGGGCGGGGTTTTACATCCAGTCACGAGCAAAACCAAGAAGTACGAACTTGACGCAGATCCTGACCCACCGCGCTTCAAGCACGGTAGGGCGTCCTTGCTTGACAATGCCCGCACTAGCCGTATCCAGCACAAACCGACGGTCCTACTATCAACCCAGGCAATCCAAGCTAAGGCGGATTGTACATCAACGAGTCCTGCAAAAAGTAGACGAGCTGTAGCCAGAAATGGTAGAGTCAAACCTGCCTCGTAGTTCAGGCTACAATCACCTCCAACTACCTCCAATACCTCCATGATCGCCCCCATAACGCAAGCGTGCCACTTCCACGAGCGATCTCGGCATGGGCCTGGGAGGCATGGAGCTTCGAAGGAATATTGGCAATGACGGGGAGGCCTTTCCGTGCCTTGATATGCCTTGCACGCTGAGTCAGCTCACCTGCTCATGAGAAGCGCGCTCTCCAGACATCTTCAGCCTGCACATGGGCGCACGTTGCACACAGCAGAAGCCAATGCTGGGCCGTAACTGCGCTTGCAACTCTTGCGACCGTGTATTTCCCATCAGCACGACAACTTCGACGCAGCGAGCAATGATCGGCTAGCGCATGGCTACTTCATGAAGCCATGGAAAGGGCCACGGAACCCCGCCGGGGGCGCTGGCAGAAAGCCTCTGCTTTGCAGCCAAAGGAAGGCAACACGGACAGTGCCGAGGAAGCCAGGACCGCTCGGCTAAAGAGTTGAGCCGTTGGCGCCGTTGAGCGCTCATCTGCTTCGTGCGACGTTGCCGCCATCATGTGCATCTATGCTTGGAGCTTCGGAGGACTGCAGTGGACGACAGCGATGACGAGGGCCCTTTGGTTGCAAGGTGTGGCGCGGTGCTATTGTGGTAATCATAGCTTGCGACATTCTTGTAGTTTCAGAGGGCCAACCAACGAAATGCTTCCCAGCTCGAAACTAAACACGAAGAAGGCGCTGTTTTTTGGTAGCGCAGCAGGACATATCTGTATGGCATAGCTCAGAATGTGCCACATCTGATCGCCGATTGCTCAGTGGCACGCGGTCTGACGGATCGTAACGACCTCAGGATTCTGGGGCACGCTGCCTCCAAGGGAGGAAGTCCCCAAGATTGCAGAGGCGGAGCCAAAGGAGCCCGCAAAGCCCGCGCATGCCCGCTGGCAACTGGAGCAGCCTGCCTATCGGCAAGCAGATCAACGGCAAGACCGGCTTCGGGGCCGACTTTCTCAGAAACAGAGGTGGGCAGCTCTTGTGACACGAGCATGGCGCAGCAACCAGCAACTCATGACACGCAAGCTCAGGAAGCAACAGTCCTGGGAGAACCAAGCTTCATCAGCTGTGCCGAACGTGCAAGCCCGAGAGTGGACATGCACCTACAGAGGGGATGATGACTAATTCAACCGTTTAGACTCCGTCACGTCGGCCAGAATCTGTTTGCGAAACGAAGGTGAAGAAATCCCAGGGATACACTGAACCAGATGCCATCGACCCGCCAGTGCGGCTGCCCCAGAGTGGTCAAAGTTTGTGTTCGCTGGCCCATCAAGGACGAGCATGCCCCATGCCCCAACACACCTGACACGCCTCCTCAAGGCCTTCAAGAGCACCCGAAGCACCTCGCCAACCGCCGCACGAAGCACTTCGCGAAGCACTGGAAGTGGAGTTAGACCCAAGAGTGGCGCTCAGCATTGGCCGGCTCAGTCAAGCTTCCGCACGCTTTTGCTTTACCAATCTTTACCCTGTTTTACCCCCGCATCCCATTTCCGTATCGTAGGTGCTGATGACGAGCGATCGGTGCTGGAGGCGATCTACGGCAACGAGTTCGAGAGCCTGAGTGCCAACGAGTGGAGGCAGATACACGGCCAGCGTGTGGCTGGTTATTGATTGTGTCCTTGTGTCCACTACTACTTGCGCCTTTGATTATAAAATGAATGGGATTGGTTTGTTCGGCCCGCCGATCGCCTTCTAAAGGCCTACAGCCCGTCAACGGAATCCTAAATTCGCCTTTATGATGACTAGGCTCTCCAATCTATTAGCCAGGTGGGAAACCTCTTCGGCAGACACGAGTCAGAAATATGTGAGCGACTACTTTTATTACGTTGCAGGAGGTCTCTTTTGGCGGAGACAAAAACCTTATGTCGTGCCTGAAACCTCGGAAAGCGATAGGCCCCCCCCAAAAGCGATACCCTGAATCTTGAATTTAGAAGTCGTTCTGCAACCATGTCATGATTTCGGGTGTTGGGTGCTATTCCAGAGCGATACTGAAAGCGATAACCCTACGATACCCATTTGGCCACCCGAAGAGCTGGGCAAAGGCCCTGGCCCAGGTTGAGGGTTCGAGGTTTAGGATATGGATTTCTGATTCGAGCGGCGAGAGCTCCAGCTCCTGGAAAAGGAGCCCTCGCACTCTTTGATTTATAGGTCCTAAAGAAAGGAAACTGGTTTAAGAATTCAGGAGTTTTCATGGTAGGGTTGCAAATTTCGGGTCTCATATGCAGCAAAGCGATAGGTTTTCGTAGCAGCATTGAGCTAAAGTCCCATAAAGCGATAGGGCCCCCCCCAAAAGCGATATCCCATGATTTTTTAATTAGCATTTGCATAAGTTTTTTTGCGGGTGCTCATGTAAGTGGAATCTCCGATGCCCCGCAAATCAGAAATCTGAGATGACACCGATTACAACTTCGAGGCTGTAGAAATCCCACTCAAAACTCAAAACCGTCGGTCTCAATCGAAAGCTTCCTTGCGTAGACGAAGAACTAAACCTTTTTGGTCCTGAGTCATTCGCTGAGAGGCCTCTGGAGCCTCTGCAAAAAGCTAATTCCAGAAATCTCCGAGGCCCCGAGATCAAAAACCGAAGCGGTCTCCGCTTAGAGGACGGGTCCTGAAACAATGCTGCTTGGGGGGTAGCCCTAAGGCCACCGAAAAGGAAAAATCAATGCGTCGCAATAATAACTTCGACCATTGGTGGTTCTGCTCTTGTAAAGTAGAAGAGTCGCCACCACCGTTGTTACACCCGTTGACGAAGATGGAGGCGCGCAGGGTTTTGGCTTCAGCCTGTATGCCCGCCCTAAAGCCCTAAACCTCATCCAGGCTCTGGCTCAGGCCAAAGGGGGGCCGGGCAGAAAATGAACCGTTCGGGCCCTGGAAAAATCAGGCAACGCAACTTGTCAGCCAGGCTCCGGCCCATTTGGGTTTCGAATCATCTTGGTGCGGAGGCCCGGAACAGGCAAAAATGAGTTTTGGGCCCTGGGCGAACAATTTTTTAGTTGGGTCTCAGGGCCGGAAAAAACCACTTTGGCACTCGCTCAGCTCGGGCTGAGGCCAAGGGAGGAGAACGGGCAATCATTTTGCCACCCGTCAGCCAGCTTCTGGCTCGGGAACCTACTCCACAGGGCCGGGAGAGGCCGAAGGTTCAGGAAGATAACTTTGGGAAGAACGGTTTGTGTTTGGGCCGGTTCCAAAACGATCCTTCCACGGCCTCAAAGGAATAGTGTGGCCTTTCCTAGCCCTCTGCAAACTGTCTTTTGCCGGTCTTTGCGTTTGCCTTGCGCAGAGCCTAAGTTAGCTTGAGCCTCCCTTCCAAACTGCTTGGCAACTCTTTTCTGGCCCCGCACGACCTGGTTTCCAGGCAAAGATCGATAGTTAATTAGGAATTCCGCTGCGGACCGAGGCAGCCATTATTTCAACCCCTCCCATGTGTTTCCTCTGGCCTCGGCTTGTTCCTCATCCTTGGGGAGGGTGAGTGGGGGTTGTAAAATCGAAACCTCCCATTGCTTGTAGCCAGGTCTTTGCAATGCTTGCTTCCACGTCCAGGTGTGAGAGTTTAAACGTGTTGCAGATGCATTGGGCGGCAGGGTAGTTTTGCCTGGTACAGCTGGTGCTCCTTCAGCGGCCGTTCGCTTCTTGCTCCCAGCAGCCTGCCCGCACAATCTTGGTCGAACGAATGCTCGCACAAACGATCACTAAACCCAGGCTGGCTATCCTCGCTCGGGCGAGCCGCCTGTGCCATTGTTCGACTGCGAAGGACCATGAGACGCATTCAGGAATCCAGGAACATTCTGGGAATTGTCCAAAACTTGATTCTCACATCGTGAAGATCCGTGTCGTCTAAAGTTCTCGGCTTGTGCGCCACTTGGCCTCTGCACTGTCGCCGCAGGAGCTTCTCAAGGTCTGCGCCATGCAGCCACAGAAGCCCTGGCAGAGTTGGTTGAGAATTGGGAACCGCCGACAGAAGGCGAAGGTTGCATCTACCAGAGCCTTTGCAGCTGATTTATCTGTCTCATGTCGCCTGCAAAGCCTTTGCTCTCACTTCCGTCTGCTTATGTGAAGAGGTTCTGAGATGCGCGCAGTGTGTTCGACGCACCGTACGAGTGCCGTACGCCAGAGTTCTCTTTCGTGTGATCGACCGAGGTGGGTGGAGCGCATACGCGAGTGCCTGGAGCCGGCGCTGGCGGCGGAAGTTTTTCAAAGGGATGAGCAGCTTGGACGCCCACAAGACGAGTTCCATCCGAAAGGCTATTCTGGATCCCCATTGCCCCTTGAAGAGCGCACCAGCAGGATGGACACGGCTATTGCCAAGTCCCTAGCTGCAGCAGAGGAAGCGACGGTACAGGCGCCGGTTTAGCTGCCAGTTCCAGTCCCTGCTGCTTTTCGCCTACTTCAGGCAAAGCATGGCAAGTGCACACCGCACACATCCGGCCTGACTCAGGCTGCCGCTTCCAAATCTTTCACGTTTCTGCCTGCAAACCCGCAGTATGGACCGATGTTGTGGCAACGTCATTGGTGCAGCCTGTCGCCCGTGTGACTCGAAGACGCTTGGCTTGCTTTGGCTATCTTCTTGGATGCCTGCAGGACAGAGGCGCCGCGTCTTTGATGCGTCCAGCTTTGATGATGCAAATGCGGTGGAAATTCTTCGCGGCGAGTCTTTCGTAGAGACTTGGCTTCACGCGATCTCGTCGGCTCTGCCCGGAAGCCGCACGCAAGCCGTGCCCGCTCAGGACAGAAAATCTACGTTTCAAGGCTTCGCAGCCAAAGTCTCCAACCAGGGCCAAGTAAACTGGGTGCCCCAACTCTTCATTGGAAAGTGCAGGATTGCATTCTGGTTTCTCGAAAGACCGCCGCGATTTGTAAGAAGCTGCTCCTGCAAAATGCTCCTTCTACTCGCCCGAGGTGCTGCGCACTCTTCTTGAAGATCGAAAAATAGCCGTGGCGACTCACAACATGTTCGCATACAGGTCCTTGCTGCAGCTGCTGAGAACATTGCTGAACGCTCTTGTGTGCATCTGGCCCAGTCTCAGTGGACGGTAGGATTTGCAGTTTCGAGGTTCCGTGACGACGCCCGCAACATCCAGGTGGCAGACAACGAGGATGATGGCGAGGACGCACCTGGCACAGATGAACAAATGATGGAAAGACCCTGTCAACCTTGCGATGAATTGCGGATGCCGAGAGGATGGTGCAGGCTCAAAGCTAGCCGAGCTCCTGAATCTCGCAGGGTGCGAGGTGGCGTGCTTGGATTGCGCGCTTTTGCCCCCAGTGACTTCTCATCTCCCGTCACTTTATGGGCAGGAGGTGTTCGTCATGGTTAGCCGATGGTATGGAGGCATTCAGTTGGGTTATGCCCCAAGTGCCGTTTGAACTTGGGATGGCTATGTGCTTGCTTTTCATTGCTTTTCTGCAGTTTTCCGCAGCTGAGGGCCGGACCGGTTCAAGCACATAGCCCGTGCGGCATCAGTGCTTTTGGACGAAGCTGGCTGGAGTAGCCGAGGCATGTGCTGTTAACTCGATGGTCGCTGCTAGCCCAATGTCAGAGGTGATAGATAAGACAAGCCTTGCGAGCGGAGGTCGTGGTGCAAGCGGAGCGGGACAGCGGAAGAAGAAGTGAAAAAAAGCACCAACAGATGTTTGTCATCAGCCTTTTGACGAAAAGTGTCTCATGCTAAGCCGCGTGCATGCGGACTTTGGGGCAGGTCGTCTGGCCGCTAGTACACGCCAAAGACGCGCGATGCCCAGTGGTGTGCAGCTTCAAGTAACGGAGTAGTGTGAATGATGTTGAGCATTGGTGATCGTGCAGTCGTGGTATGGCCATCAGCTTTGGAAGTTGCAAAAACTCTTATGGTCTGCTTGCGGGGCTCAAACCATAGCTGGGTGCCATTCCCGGCAGCCCTTTGTGGGCATAGTTGGTGCACGTGAGGGCAGGACTGCCGCCATACCTTGACATGTGAGTTTATGAGAATCTGCAGCTTGTTGGATGTTCCGTTTGCGACATACGAAAGACTCGGACATGGATCAGGACTCTGGCGTCAAGCATGGTTGAGGCAGAGGAAAGCATTGCCACCCCAATCTCTCCCTCGGTTCCGGGTCATGTGTGTCTCTGCCCAGCTGAACTGGGTGTCGCAGTTGGGCTGTGCAAAAAAACAGCAAAGAGACTTGTTTTGTTAAAAACTGCAGCTCGCCCTTGGCAAGCCATGTCATGAGACCGGTGGAGGACAAGTTTGCTGCACTTCGAACGAAGATTTTCACCGAGTCCATTGAGAGCTCCAACGAGCCAAGGCCTTGACCAGGCAAAGCTGCATTGGTCGATGCCCGATGCCTTCGCAGGTGGGGCTACTTTGGCATACCGGGCCCGTTGGCCATCGGAGACAACTCGTACGCACCAAAGTCCTCAGCCCAGTCTGAGACAGTGCATCACTGGGCCCACTGGGCCATCCATCAGAGGTTCCTCCAGTGCAGTAGCAGCTCAGTAGCTCAGTAGCATCGCAAGGTTGGTCAAAAAGCCAGTGGCAGAAGATGAAGAGGACGTCACCAGGAACATCCAAACAGCCCCGACAAAGACTCTCGGATTGAGCCATGTTGAGCCATGTTGAGCCCTGCTGAGCCCTGCTCAGTCTCAGCTGTTCAAGAATGGCTGCGCTTCAGGAAGGGAACGACACCAGATGTGTACTTCAAGTTCGAGACACCATTGGGCCTTGGGGATCCGCACTTTGAATGCAACCCAAGATAGGTTAGATGTGCTTCGAGAGTGCTTGGCAGTTTGAGGATGCCACACTTCGTTCGCGGGCAGGTATACAGATCCCGGAGCTGCCATGAAGAAGGGGAAGATCTGGATGTTGGATCCAGACGCTGCTTTCAAGCCTCCAGGAACGGTGAAGACTGGCAGCTCGGCAGCACAAGTTACACGCTGAAGGACATGAATGCAGGGAGCTTCGAAGCTTTGCAAGAAGGGGGTCAGAAACCAGCACGTGACCTACCAGCCGCTAAGTTACTTGAGGCTTGCTCGGAACAACACTCATGTCATCTGCGCGGCATGAGTATCAGGTATCAACAAGCTTGGCTATGAGTATGCCTCAGGCTTAGCGATGCTGTCACACCTCCACAGCCTGAATCGCTTACCAGCGTTTCGGGAATGTCGAGCTCAGGTGGAGCACTGCGACCAAGTCAAAGACCCCAAAGCGATCAAAGACAAGCAGCCCGGCGTCGACATGTCTCTGCAGAAGCCGCGGCGGCGGCCGTTCGTGCGAAATGGGGTGGCATACAGAAATGTGACAGCAATGATCATGATAAAAGGACGAATGTAGCAATCTACGGCAAAGGAGCAGTGGTGCAATCTACAATCTGTGTTTCCAAGCAGGATGCGCAGTTGGACAATCCAGCAGCACACGAATCTCCAACAGATTTTGCCTTTTCAACAAGCCAGCTCTGGGTCCCCACCCCATCAAGCATCAAGGACAACGGGGCAAATTTTAAACATGAAATTCACAGGGCTTCTACTCGGAATCGCCTCCAAGAAGGGGCCCGTCATGGTCCAAGAACCTCAAGCCCAGGCTTCGGGACTACGCTGTGATTCGAGCTACAAGTGTTGGGCCCTTCTGGTGCCCCAACAGAGACCCTGTAAACGGCGCAAACGCGGACCAGGGCCCACAGAAGGCAAAGTCAGCAGGGGAGGGGGTCTAGTCGAGGGCCCTGGAGGTTCAGAAAGGTCCTTGCGAAGCCAAAAGGCGTTTGGGCCGTTTGGGTCAACACTTTTCGCCTTATCTCTGTGTGGGGTAAAGAAGGTCCTGCCAAAAGGGCCATGGGCCTCTGAACCGACCATTCCGGGACACCGGGCCGAAAAAAATTGGGTGCTAAACAGCCACTTGAGGCCTCCCGGGGAGAGGGATACAGAGGGACTAAGGAGGGTAGTTTGTTCACCAAACTCGAAGGCCTGCCGCGGATGTAAATCAGCCTTCCTGAAACTCGCGGGGCTGGGCTGCTGGCCAGCGGACTCCTGAACATTTGCTCGGACCAGATATTCTGGCACAGAAGCTTCTGTCAGTTGGGCCAGGCAGCTGTGGGGCTAGCACGTGGCTTCTTTGAAGGGCTCAACGGGCTCCCTTCTAAGTTGTAGTAGTCCTCAGACGGTTCGGAACCGAACGCGTAGTCGTAGTCCAAATATCGCATTATCTCATATTATGTCGCAGTGATTCGCATTGTCGTCACTGATGCATCATGTCGCCAGGCTTTGGCAATGCTGTTTTCAACTGCGTCCTGCTCACATGCAGTCAGTGTGTGTGTGTGTGTGCGCGCGCGCGCGCGCGGGTGTGTGTGTGTGTGTGTGTGTGTGTCGGTCGGTTGGTCGGTTGTGCCGACACATGCCACCAAGCGTACCACCCCATACAATGTTTTGACCTGCATGTGCATCTCACATCGCACGTGTTGCATGAGGTATGCAGAATGGACTCCTCCTCGCAACATTTTCGGGGGGACCTCGAAGAGAGGCCAGCATAGTCCCGAACAGCAGAAATGAGACAAATCTCTAGATTGCCGCTGGCCCAGGCGGGCCTGGAGTTCTCACCGGAGGAGTACTCTTTGGCTTCGGGGACCGCTGTGGCAGAAGTTTCAGAAGTGGCAGCAGTGTGACATACTGGGCAGTAGGCCAGGGGTCAAGGCGCTTCTTCTACTGGCTTGTAAAGGAGCCCGGGGCTTTCCCAGAACATGTTCCAGATGACTACGATGCTGCCAGGCCAGGCCACAGCCACTAGCAAAAGTTTCGAAGATTGGATAGCAAAGATGTGGTGCGCTCGCGGCTCGCGACCGCCGCATCTGTCAGCCAGCCTTGCCGAATGCAAAATGCGACGGGTCAGGAAGCAGCGCAAGAAAGAGCTGGAGGAGCATCACAGCGGGGCGCTGAGCATGGAAGCGGAGGTACAGGCAGGCCAGGACAGGCTTGCTGCGAACATCATGGCGGTGTGCACAATGCTGGCGACGGTTCAGCATGGCATCGCTACGACGAGGCAAGGTCCAAGAGCAGCCGTTCAAGGGCATCGACTATGGTAACCGGTTCTTCCAGAGCAATGAGGATGCTTTTGGAGGACGATGTTCCACTCATCCTCACCCGTCTTTTGTAGACAGCATACTCAGAACCGCGGCAAAAGAAGAACGTGCAGGTCAGCTTGCGTTGATTGACGGATGGCAGCACAGGATACGACCAGCCCACCCATGTGCCTCGCGACCCTCCACCTGATAAAGCTGCGCCTTGTCATGACAATAACCATGCTGACCATGCTGTTTGCATTGCAGCATGCCGCTTGAACCAACATGTTGTTGCCAGAAGAGCTGTGGCAGTTAGGGGCAGCAAAGGCGAAGTACCCGCATGAGTCGCCCTTCCGGCCTACAAACCCAATGAAAAGAGATGCCGTGGGATGTCTCATGGGTGGCATCCCAGAGTGACTCGGCGCTCTCCTTCGCCCCAAACAGCATTGCATCGCTCATCTTTACTAGCAGAGTGCTCAAGCACCCCGTGTACAGATACTCGTCGTACTGCTCGCAGTGCAAACCCGGAACCAGCAAATCTGGAACGAGGTATCTCCCCTGTCCGGAAGAGCCTCTGAAACGAAAGCCGAAGGCATGGAAGCTGTGCCACAGTCGTTTTCAGCCGGCTTGGGCTGCTTGGGCTCCAGTGTAGTGCCTCAGGACGAAGATGCACCACCCGCCACTTCTCAGCACCAGCTGCTCTTGTGAGCCATGAAAAAACCATTCCTCCCTGAGGCTTTCAAGGTGGGTGCTCCGCGGCATGTGGTAAAGCCAACACCATCTGCTCTTGGGCTGCGCTTGGCAAGGAGTGCCATTGCTGGTAGCAGAATCTTGCACGAGGGACCCTTCGTGAGGTCACCACGCTCACCCGCAACATGCGGAATGAACGCCCCTCAAGCTTCATGCGACCGACGCTCGTCTGAACATTTGTTGAATCCGCATGGTGCAGGGGGCTCACACACCACGTTGCGCTCAGGATGCTGTGACACCGCTCCGGCCATGGTTGGTTTCACTATGTACCAAGAGGGGCACCTCTCCTCGAACCTAGTCTCAACCAAGGCGAAAACTGCCGCCTGGTGGCTTGCTTCGCCAGAAGGGCGAAGCGATGCATAATGTTTCACACCAGTGGTGCTGCATGCAGGTTGGTAAAGCCAGACAAGAACTGACAGAATGGAAGGCAAACCAAATTTCATTGCCGTTCGCTATCCAAAGCGCCAGCTTTCTTGCGATGTGCATGTCGCATGGGTCGAAAAGAAAGAGCTCGCTCTCAAGACGAACCGCCCATAACCGCCCGATGCTGTGCGTTGAGAAGGACAGACCCTGCGTCGCTGCCTTGTAGCCAAGGGTCGGCATCCGGATCTTCTTCTTCGACTGGCCTGAGATCGAAGCAATTTGGCATTAGGGCAAAATTCCAAGGGAGTGTGGCCACGGAAAACGGCTGAGCATCTTGTTGCATGGAGCGGCTTTTTGGCCGTTCATCGAAGCAACCCATCATGCCGAATGCCGATGTCAGATCGGTTCTCGCAAGAGTGATCGGATGTTGCAGGCCACGCAGCTTGCTGACACAGGCCCGCTTCAGTTGTCAGGTGGCACGTCGCGCTTTTCACTTCTCGACCTGCTTTCTTATTCAGTTTCTGCTTGGCGTGAGATACTCCGTAACGATGGAGGGAAGCGTCAGAAGCCAGCGGTTGAGCTCGATGCAGCCATGGTCGGTCCAGAATGTGCACGAATGTGAGCAGACAATGACTAGCAACCGACACCAATGAAAGTGATAGGCAGCACACAATTTTCAATGCGTTTCAAGCCAAGCTTCTACACCCCAGAATGCATAGAGAAGCCAGACCCGGAAAACTCATCGCACAACTGTTGTGACAAGATGACCTGCGCAACGTAGCTGACGTAGCTGCCCAGTCTCAGAATAGTGAGGCTTTGGGACTCGATGGCGGAGCCTTTGCGGAGTCACTAGTGTGGTGTCCGGAAGACAACGCACGGATGGCTCTCCTTTACGCGAGGGAGCTGAAGGATGCCCTTGGCCATGGACAGGTCACTTCGGTCAGCAAGTTTTGCAGATTTGCGGAGCGTGGTCTCGTGCACCCAAATTCATAGCCCCCGATTTCTGACAGGTGGGGAAGGCCAACAAGGACCAGCTGTAGACAGTCCTAGCGGCTTTGCGAACTTGTGTGGCTTTCTTGAGCCGCAATGTTTAGAGTTGAAGGGTACTTGCATCTTGAAGGTGAATGTGAAGTTCACCGAATGTACCAGTAGATGCAGGGATGAGCAACACCGCACCGCCGTGCACCACCGAAAACGAGCAAGGACTACGCTCGCGTGTGGAAGGTCGCCATCAAGGCTGTGGGGGCCACTATAGGGCGATGTGGGCTCCAGCCGTTGCCAGCAAGTTGAAAGGCCGTTCTGCTTGATTTCGCCAGGCAGTTCGAGCCATGCTCAGATTCAAGCGCGGGATGAAAGGGTGGTCAAGGGCACCAGCTAGCAACTTGGCAGCACAGAACTTTAGGTGCAGCCGTCCATGCACCAAGTACAGCGTTGACCCCTAAATGTTCGGGTCTTCGACTTCAGAAGGCTTATTTACGCCGTGCTTTATCCCAGTCATGTGGCAGTGTGTGATGATGATCCCAACGTTACTGTATGTCCCTGACATGTCATGATGCCTGTACTTGGCAGAGCGGAGGTGGTGGCGAGCCAGCAATAGATCACACTTTGAGAGGCAGAGCCAACTGCTTTGAGCACTGCTTCCTGCTTCGTCCTTGTCCTGCTTTTTTTGTTTTTGCTCTTTGATGTTGCTTTTTTCTCCTTCTCCCACACATGCCGTAGACACATGCCAGGATTTCATTTCCTCCCTCCAACGCCTCTGCGGCGGACGCAGAAGGAGATGCCGCCCGACACAGTCGAGCCTCTGGGCAAGCATAGGAGGAGCTGTAGGCCAGAAAGGCCAGAAAGGCTCAGGCCCTTGACATCGCTGCCACAGCCGGAGGCTAGTCCTGCACGGGTTGAAGGGAGAGCTGCTGATGGGGTCAAGTCCTGAGCGGAAACTGACAGGAGTGATAGCAACAATCTTTGAGGCAGCCTTGCAAAATCTGATGAGCAAGGCCTGATGTCGTTTCCTTGGGCGTAAGCATATCGCAGATCAAGAGGCGATTGCTCGTCCACTCTCGCCAGGAGGCAGTGCATTTCAAGCAACTGCTTGAAATGGTGTGATGAGTCTTGAGTCCCCTGCGACGCAGTGAAGGTGATCAAAGGAAGCGTGACCCGAGCATTGCAGCTGTACAACTTCATAGCGCTGGGTGCTGTGGTTCATTTCTTGCACAACCGTCGAGCAGTTGATGACATGGCACTTTGGCTGCAGAAGTTTGCTGCAAGGTGTGTTTTTGTCCAGGTGACTGTTTTCTGCGCAATAGCAAAGCATCTGCCAGCTCCTTGCTGCCGGTGGCCGTTGCGAATTTACCCATGCTTTGATTTTCAAGGAAACCTTGCGGACTTTGAGACTTGATGAGCAGCACGAAGGTGTGCAGACTGCAGCTGGCTGAGGGCACAGAATGCACGGGCACGTCATACTCCGTCCAGGTACCGGAAAATACTCGCCCGATACTTTGGCGTGTCTTGCCTAAAAGCTCTGTGCTACCTGTCACTACCTCTTACAAGTAGCTGGAAAGCATGGTGTCGAGTTGGCAGGCACTTGGCACAGGTGAAGAAGAGCCTCGCAGCCACAGAATCCACAGCACGTCTGCCCGAGCCCCGGGAGGTGCTGGCAGCTCCCAGGACCACAGAGTCTCAGAGCATGAGGCAAAACCCGAACTGAACTGAAGAAATCTTGGCATCGACCCCGAAATGTCTGCAGGATCGAGTTGGTGGCGGTGGTTTTCGTCCACATCTATGGTGTCATAGCCTGGGGCGATGCTTCAGCAGGCCCAGTACCATAGAGTTGCCGTGCACTGGTCGATGTGACAACACTTGGGGCTGCAAGATGTTAACGGTTAGTAGCTACGATATAGGAAAGCTCCATGAATGCGTTTAATTGCAGCAGGTGGCTCTATCCCGCTATCTCTTTCAGACCGCTTGTCTGGTGGAATCACTTTTGTGGTCGGCAACACCCGAGCTTTTGCGGCAGTGTCGCAGTCAGGCACGTTGGGTCAGCCTCCCTCAGGGTAGAACTGCCTCTGCTCACCGTGGCCACCTCCGTTGCAAACCCTGAGATGAACACAGTCGCTCAACGTCACCTTGGCCAGGTGCAGTCACCACTTGGGGGGATCCAGCCTGCGGCGGCAATTCTGGAAAAGTTGCGGATCAGCTCAAGTCGCGGGCCTTTCAGATTTGCTACAACGAGTGGGCGCCACGTCCGCACAATAGTTTCAGCCTCATGCTCCCAGAGTGCTGCCAACTGTTGGTCACGTGAGGCCTTTGCTGCTTTCAGAGAAGGTGGCCAGATTGTATGTCGCTTGGGCTTGAACTTTGGACACCCGTAACTGCCTATTTGGGGGTGCCCAAGGGTTACACAGCACACAGAGTTGTTGCACAAAGGCGTTGCGCATGTGGTCAGGTTGGGGCGACCCGGACGCCGGCGGTCAGCCGTCGGGGATTGGAGCTTCCTTGACCTCCGGTGTAGTGAAAGTTTGCACCTTGACCCTAAAAAAAGAATTTCTGGCAGGAGTCCTGCGGGGATGTGAAGGGTTGTTGGGGGTCTTGCAAAGGACGAAATAGGGCCGAAAATAGTTGCATTCCCTCTCCCACGCTTACTGCTCGCCCTGAGGCAGCACAGAGTTTGCCTTCGCTGCACTCAAAGAAAGTGGACAAGTCGTCACCTGGGGGGATGCAAGTGTAGGTGGCGACTCCAGCAGCGTTGCGTCCCAGCTCCAGAGTGGCATCGTGAACATTTGGGCCAACGCCGGGGCATTTGTGGCAGCAAAGTCGGATGGTTCTTTGGTGATTTGGGGTGACCCAAGCGCCGGTGGGGACATGAATGCGCTCAACCAGGACTCCAGCCGTACAGTTTTTCCTCTGCCACATGGCGAGTATTGAACATGTAAGAATGGCTACTTGAAAGGGTTTGGGTCTCCAGACTCCAGAAGGCACGAAACATGACTTAGCTGCTTGGCTCAGTCATCTTCGTTACGAGGGGGTCCCGGTTCTATGTCCTATGTCCTCCACGAGAGCTCAGAGTCGCGAGTGGGAGTTGAGAGGAGGTGACCTCATAGTTATTGAGAAACGAGGTCAATTGAAAGCTAAGAGTTGCGAGAACGGGGCGCTTGCTTGCACAAGTTTTGCTTGCCCGTGAACATATTTTCAGCCCAACGCATGCTCCCCAATCGCCGAATACGGTCGATCGCGCAGGGTATAATCTTGAGGGCACCGTCGGGAACATCGCTGTGCCAAGCAGGTGTTAGGCTGCAGCACGCATCCGCAATCAAGCTTGCACGCGCAACGCAGCCTAATTTGAATGCCCCCCCTGCCCCCCCCCCTCTCCCACATGCGTTGTGTTTCAGCAATGAGAACTGACCACGTGCAGCGCAACTTCTTTCATTGCTGGTGCTAGCAGCAAGTGAAGGGTTCTTTTCTGCAAAATGTCAGGAGGAAGCTCGTGACATCGAGACCTTGTTCTGCAACATCCGCGCGTTTGCGGCCATTGCCCAAGGCTGGCTAGGCATGTCTTCGGCACCAACGTGACTGCACTGCACCAGCACGACGATGACTACTGACCATGGCCATGGCCCTGGCCATGACCACGAGCACCAACAACCATCAGCATCGTCGTCATCGTCACCACCATCATCACCATCGTCGCCCTCACCATCGTCATCGTCATCATCGTCATGATCGTCATCATCGTCATGACTCATCATCGTCATGACTCATCATCGTCATGGCTCATCATCGTCATCATCGTCATCATCGACGTCGTCATCATCGTCATCATCGACGTCGTCGTCGTCGTCGTCATCATCGACGTCATCGACATCATCGACATCAACCATCATCATAATCATTATCATCATCATCATCATCATCATCGTGTTTTTTTATCGTTTTTCATCATCACAACATTGACAGCACCAACCGGAACCGGAACAATCACCATCGCAAAGGCAGCAGCCAAGTAACATCAAGCAACCAAGACAACCCGCACAAGAGCAAAAAGAGCAAGCAAACACTTGTCTGCCCGCCTACTGCGACTGCGTGCTGCCAGGAGGTCGCGTAGTTGCTTGGGGTGCTCCTGGGTGTGGAGGAGATACTTCCGCTGTTGCAGCACAACTCACAGACATCTGACGGAAGTTATCACATTTTGGCATCAAGAACTTGTCGAGGTTGCAGTCCCAAGTACTCGGCAAGTGTTGACTGAGGGAGGTGTTCGGGACATCCGGAGCAATGGGCGCGCCTTCGCGGCCATCAAGGACTGAAACGTCTTGCATGAGGGCTCAATGTGTTCCCGGCTAATGAAAGCCACTCTCATGTCATGAGGACAATGGAGCTGTTGTTGCTTGGGGCAACCCCGACTTCGGAGGTGATGCAAGTGCTGCAAGGCATTTGATGCAGCACAGCATCGTGGACCCTTCTCGCTGCACTGGTTTGTCAAGAGCCATGAGCAATCTGATAGTTGAGGCTGTAGCGAAGAAAGCATTGTCAGTCGAGGATATCATTCCGAGCTTGAAGGCTTTTGCAGCCTTGAGGGAGGACCCAATGAGTTCCCTGTCCTGAGTTCAGGTTGAACCTACTTCAGACTGCCATCTCCAGCTTTTTGCGTTGCTTCATTGCTTCAGTCCCTCAGGCAATGGCTTCACGGTCATGACGTGGGGTGATGCTCAAACAGGTGGTGATTCGAGCGCGGTGTCTCACCTCTTGATTGGCAATGTGCAGAGACTTGGCCTTTAGAAAATCTACGACAACGTATGAAAATGTAGATTCTGCTGCCAATCTGTGCCGTTGACAGTTCAAGCAGTGCTTTCCTCGAGGCAAGTGGTAGCCAACGATTGGGCATTTGCAGCCAGAAGAGACGACGGCATCGTTGTTTGCTGGGGTGATCCTGCTTCTGGGGGCGATGAGTCTGCCGTGGAGGAACGTATCCGGCAAGCAGGCACGTGGTTTTCAGCAACGGTGATGGATGTTGGGCTTGTTCGTATCCTTGTTTTCCTGTTGCTCGCATGTTCCTTCTTAGCTGGCCGTGGCTGTCGTCTAGTGGCAGCTCATTCAGGACGTGCTGAGAGCCATGGAGGGAGCTTTGTCTTGGTATAAACTTGTGTGAGATTGTACGTTCGAGTCACAGTCAATTTCTGATGCCAATATCGTCACACTGTTGTCTGGGGATGTGAGATTGAAGTTGGAAGCCGCGGGCGGGCCTTCGGTTCAGTGTCATGCCATACATCAGCATGAGCATTCCTTTGGTAGTTTCATGTAGTTTCGTGTTCCCAGTACTGAGTCTCCTGACAGAGTATGGACATTTTTTCTGAGAGTTTGAAGCTTTCTTTTTTCGAGGACGGCTCTGCCCGGGTGGGCTCATGCACGGTCTAGCCACGTATACGTCAACTCTCAAAGTGGCAAGGCGGTAAATTGTTGCGTAAACACTGAAAGAGCGCCACAGGCACGCCAATTGAACCATGTTTGCTGGAGCTTGTGGCGGAGTGCAACCTGTGTGAACTTCATATCTTTAAGCCGGCAGAGCACGGGGGTGAAGGATGGCGGGGGAACGGCTTCGAGAGATCGGAGGGCGGGACTGCGCTTGTGCCGGAGGTGGAGCCACGGCCTTGTACAACACGTCCCGTGCCTTTGCCGCGGTCCTCCAGGATGGCTCCATCTGCGCTTGGGGAGAGCCCAGCTGTGGAGGAGACTCCGCACCTGTGCCTCAGCCAAGTTAAAGGCTCCCTATAAGGGGCTCTTAAAGAAAGACTGCATCAAGCCAGCAAGCCATCAAGCAGAAGGAACAGCAGGTGCGCCGCGCGCGAGTTCAGTTGATTTGGCGCAAGTTATGTTTCGCCGCAACTTGACGCGAGGCCCGTTTCTTGCCCAGAAGTGCAGCACGCACACAACAAAACTCACACATCCGCACGCACACACACACACATACACATACATGATTTCCAAAGGTGCGGCTTAGAGGGGGCAAACATGCCACGCCCTGATGGAGAGGCAGAGTTTGAGCTGGGAGACCAGAAGGCTGGTGGTGCTAGAGCATGCTGTAGCCATCGGATGGGCCAGATGGCTTTGTGCAGATCCTTTTCTTGCCAGGTCCTGGACATGTGTGCAAATGATTATGCATTTGCCGCTCGTACTTCGAGCGGATCCGTTGTTGCCTGGGGTACGCTGCTTAGACGACCGGTGCGACGGCAGAGCCGCAGCAGGTACCATGATAGTACCATATACCAGCTTCCCCCTCCGTGCTCCCATTTCCGGCTCCAGTCATATAAAGTTACTGACCGTCAGTTGCCGAGAATACCCGCTAAAGAGCGACTTCGGCGGCCACAGACTCACGTCACGAACCAAACATCCAACAAGCATGATCTTATGTTATGTATGCTAAACTTTGCGGTTGGCATTCGTTTCGTTCGTGACGTGAGTTCGTGGTTGGAGCAACGCAACAGCTCAAGATCGCAGCAAATCCATGTTTTGTTAAGCCTCAAACCATCAAATCTGGCTCTGAGATTACAATGCTACATTCCCAGGGGCCCCTTTTTGAATAGAGTCTGGCAAAGTCTTCTGCCGAGCCGATAAGTTAAGCCCACTCTCTTTTGCAGCCTTAAGATCAAGATCTAAAGTGATAGGCCTTCTTCATAGACAAGCCATTGAACTATCGGGCTTTTTGGTATTGGAATATCCGCACACGTGCAAAAAGGCTAGATGGCAATCTCATCTAGAGTCTAGAATGAAAAAAGGTTCTTACAAACAAGTTTGCCTCAAAAAATGCGCGAGCCCTCGTGCTGAGAGAACGATTTTGGCAGCTTTCCGTGGAATATCCGTATATGTTAAGTTGTTCCGAAGGGAGTCGTCCGCATGAAACGATTGGATTATCTTTGTAGCTTGCCTATACACGCATCCAAAGATGCAGGCCTTTGCAGATGAACTTTTCTTATGGATCCGTTCGAAAGCTTGCCCTGGGATATTCAGGATCTTCAGTCTTCAATTCGAACCAATTCCAAATTTGGACATCTGGATTTGTTCCTTGCATTGGTGAAGGTGGCAGAATTCGTGTAAGATCACAGAAGTGTTGTTGTGAAGGCTTTTCACACGTGAAGCCCAACGGGGGGAGGGGGGGTGGGGGGGGGCAGGAGGGGGCAACATACAGATGTGCATGCATATATATATATATACACATTACAGTATGTCGCAGTAGGCAGAGGCCGGCATGAGAAGGCATGGAAGGTGTTAACAGAGAATCAGCCGTTGCGGAGACTGCCTGAGGCCATAAGCTGTATGGAGGCCACATCGAGGAGGCCACTTCGGCGCACTTAACGGCTTTGCACGGTACCGGTGCAAACGTGAACGTGGGCCTAAACACCACTGCTTTAGTTCCCTACGCTTCTTCTGGCATGTGGCAGTTGAGTGTTGCTAGCCGTGCAGGAGGCTGCCAGCAAGCTGCTGTCGGGCGTCACGAAGATGATTGGCAGCCGGGATGGAATTCAAGTGAAGACCGCTAGCCATAAAGTGTGTGTGTGTGTTAATGGCGTGCGCATTCGCAGTCTGCGTGTCATTGGTTCATTGTGTTCCAAGGAAACAAGTTTTCTTTCCTCGCCATGAAGAGATCGGGCACCTACGTAACATGACTCGGTGAACCAAGTGGAGCCACAAAGATTGGGCTGCCGAAGGTGCACAGACCAAACTTGGGAACCGCCGAAGGCGCTCCTGAGTTGCCAAGGGGCGCTTTGGTGCTTTGGCGCTCTGTGCATCGGTTAATAGATGCATTCTGCATGACGAGAAAAAATTGAATTGCAGGCAAGCTCCAAGGGCCCAAATGTAGATTCGCTTGCTCTTCGTGGCGCATAGCCAGGTCCTCTGGAAGAGGTGGTGCCAGATTCGGGGGGCACTCTGGTGACAGATTCGTCAGGCTCTCGGGAGGCAGCTTCCTTTGACGCTCCCTGCCTGGAGGAGTTGTCAGATTTCATGCAAGGCTTCCGACTGACCAGAAGTTAGATGCCATCTTCAGCGAATGGAGGCAGAAGCTTCTCGGTTCAATCTGGATTTTCTATCCAACCGACACTACGATCACTAATGATTTAAATGGTGAGCCTTCATCAAACCCCTGCCTCTCGATGGCTGAGGTATGCTGCTTTTCAGAGAGCGACACAGAAAGTTGGGGCCCCTTTGGGAGCCGGCATTGCTTCTTTTGTATTGCAATTCTGTTTCTTGGAATGGCCCGCAGCCGATCATGGTCTGACAGTCACAGTCAGCTCACACAGCGCAATAATGACAGCATCATGGCTGGGTCCAGCTAGGGCTCTCCCTCACAGATCTAGTTTCTGATGCAGATGTGGTCAGCGGCGACTGCATCGGCAACATGCTATGGAAGGTTGTTGGTGGTGTTGGAAAAGGCGTAGTACTGTGCTGCGTGTTCTGCTGGTTGAGTTCACTGCTCTGGACAGCTTCTGATGAATGAGCAGGCTAGACCACTTGAGCCTCAACCTGCCAGGAGGGATCATCGCTCGATGCGCCTCGGATGTGGCCTCTGAGAAGCTGGTGCAGCGCCTGGAAACCGGGGCAGTTGTCAAGGAGCGCTCTACCTCGTACCTGCCAAAAGCTACTGCAGACCATGGGAATGCCAACCTCCCAGAATGACTCTGGGAGGGAGTCGGAAGACTTGAGCTTTTGCGTTTTGCAGGTTTGCTCTAGAGTTAGGTCATAAGGTCAAACGAAGCCTTCGGAGTGACAAAGTGCTGTGTCCAAGATCCTTCAACCCGAGGGGAATGAGACAGGATGAAACAGGACCAAGGCCCGACCCAGCTGAAAGGGGGGGTGTCCAGTATCCCATCTGTTTCGGATGGTGCGGGGCCTTGGCTTGCAGCTTGCGCAGGAGTTGACTTTGCAGGGTGATCGCTTGCACTACGAGCTGATTTCTGGAGCTGGTCCGCGGCAGGGCTGGGTTAGTACCAGGCTGCAGGAAAAAGCTCTACTGGAGCCGCTGCCAGATGTGGAGGTGGGCCACGGTTGCATAGAGCATGCCACAGTATCTGGCTCGGGCTGGTCGTGAGGATTTGTGAGGCCTTTTTCCGCGAGGCTCTTGCCAACAAAAGCACATGCCTGAGGTGGACAAGGCTGACATCCAGGATAGCTGTGCAGTTGAAGCTGGTGCTTTAACGCCACTCTCTGCAAGCAAGTGGTTGGCGAAGTACGAACATGGGAGCAAGGCCAGATGCAGGTGGCTTGTTTTGCAGCCGAGAGCAAGAGCTCTGGTGGAATAGGTGGAAACATGCATAATACTTCAGGCTTGTGTGCTTCTTTGGCGCCGGACATGATGCAGTCGGCTTTGCCCACTGGAAGCCTGAATCACATTGGCCCAGTTTGATTGCGTTAGTCCGTTCGTGTTCTGCTGTGATCCTAGGGGCAGCTTGCACGGCAGACTTGCAAAACAGGCAAAGCTACAGTACGCAAGCATGCCTTGTTACGGCATGAGTGTCAAGAGGTCGTGGCTAGGTTGTGCAGTGGTCTGAAAGTTGTTCTTGGAGAGCAAAGGAACCAGTATGTTGCGGAGCATCATCCTTCTATCGAGCTGCTTTTGATCACTTTGCCTGGGCATGGGATAAATCGCCACGTTCCGCTGCAAGAAGATGCGCAGGCCAGACACAGCGTCCGGAAGTTTGGGCCGTTAAGCTGAAATTAATTGCACCATGCTTCGCAAGGGGATGCCCGTCACATATGCGTTGATGCAGGCGTTGGCAAAACTGGCCGCTGAAGAACTGTTAAGCCTCACAGAGCGCCTTGGACCCTTCGGTTTGTTCGGCTTCTCCGTGGGCGCTACTGCAAGTCGGAGCCCCGGCTGGAGATCGCAGTGGCTGCGTCCTGCACCCACCCCCCACCCCCAGAGTCTTTCACAATCCTTCTCATGGTCTCAGGGGGCATTCCTGCTGCTATCACGGGTTCTGACCATTGAAAATATAGGGCATGCCTCCGACCACAGGCTATGCCTTGGCGTTGGAGATGATCTCCCGTGGCCACAAGCCAATGAAGCTCTACCTTGCCGGCAGAGCTGGGCCAAAGGTTCGCTTCCAGCCTCCGGCCCACAAGGATTGGGAGTTACGGTAATGGCAAATTAGTTATCTTTATTTCCACCTTTATTGGAATGGCTTTGTGGAGAGCGTTATATTTACACCCCAACATCAACGAGGTTCTCTTCTTTCTGATTTTCTTCTTTTCTATATTTTTCGATTTACATGTTCTATCTTCCAATAGTCCTTTCAGATTTCCGTTAGATAGCACAGCGGTTTCCTTTCATCATTGATAAAGACTTCTATGGAAAGAAGTTCTTTCTCTGTCTATATCTTCTTCAAGCTCATTTCGGCTTCTCCTCTCTCTTACATCCAAGCGAGGCATGTGGATTTCTTACTCTTCATTTTTTCTTCTTGTTTGTTAACCCTGAACCCGGAAGTTGTAGCCTGAATAACAAAGCAACGGCGACAAAGTTTGAGGCATCTTTGAGAGGGTCGAAGGCAGGGTTCCTGGCACTGTTACGGATGTGTTATATAGTTATTCCACGACATTGTCTTATTCGTTGATGTAGTACTCTTGTTATTCTTCTAGAATGCTGTTAGTACTATTCTGTTTGTGGTTCTTGCCACCTTCCTTTCCCGTTTGCCATAGCCTGGAAGTCTTAAAATCCCAAGTGGGGAATTTTGGGGGACTAGGGATACTTGGTCGTCCCCATCGGCAAAGTCAACAGTTTTCTATGAAAGCGAAAAAAATGTGCTGGATTTTCGTGCTCGGCGTGATTTGGTGACATTCTTGGTATTCTGTCCATGATCTGCACAACTATAGCCGCAAACAGACGCCAAGGATGTGCAGCCCGCTTAGACAGCAAAGGGCTGTTTGCACACATTCCTGCTGGTCACAGCATACACTTGCACTGCACAGAAGGAGCGCCAAAGATACCTGAAACTGTGCGAATGTTGAGTTCAACCTGGTCAGGAGATTTGGGCCTTAGATGCAACTGGCTGGCTGCGTTGGTTTGTCGCGAACTTTGCCACAGATGCGGATGTCAAACGAACGGATACTTTGCTTTGTTCATCCCTCCTTGGTCTTGGGAACGGGTTGAATGCGAGAATGGTAGCTTACGGAAGGAACGGCTAATCCAGCTGTCCGATGGCCCGAATGACGGCCTGTTAAACTCCATTGCGTCCTCGCAGAAAGCGGACATGCTCCTGGGAGACAGCTTGGCAGGCAAGAACAGGGCGCACCAATACCCAGCCATGACATGAGAGAAGAATAGAAAACCCATCAACCCAACGCAGGTGTAGAGCTCCCGGCGATTGACTGTGACTTCTATGTACTCGCCTCACGGGCTGATGAAGTGTGGCCGGCAGAAGACAGTGCAAAGTGTCTTGGCTTGTTGCGCATGTGCATCCAGCAGACTGTCACAGGTGAAGGCACTTGGCGTTTATACAGGCGTTCCAGAATATGCAGACAATGTACTGCAACACCCAGAGATGTTTCAACTGCCTGCCTCCCATTTTGAGCAGCAGGTATGGAGACCACTGCCAACCGCCTTACATGGACTGTTCCGAGACCTGGAAGCCTTTTACATTGGGCTCAATGGCCTTCAAGTACTTCGACCATGTGAAGCACAGTAAGCTGTGTACTGAGTTGCTGCTCGAAGCTGTTTGTCACGACTTGTCGGCCACGGCAGCTAGTGGCGCGTGCAGTGAAAACAGGCAGGGTGTGTGGATCAGTCCGCCAATGCAAGTCCCAGACGCACTAGACTTCTTCAGTCCTAGAACTGTTCTAGACGAGGGCGACTTCTGATGCCGTCGCAAAGCAAAGACGAAGCCATGCAGAACAAACAACGTTCAGGTCCTGGGTGCTGATTCGCCTCGGAGAGCACCCAATCCGAGAAGAACTCCCGGCCTGTTAATGAAGTGGTCCCGCAGTGCGGAACGATGAGGGGCCGTGGGATACGAAGAAGCAACGCAAGGTTCCGGAGCCAGCCATGAAGCGGAGAGTGATGACGAGGTTTCTCTACTGCTGGGATTGCATGCGTTGCGTCGCGTCTTGCTTTCTGATCCTGCAATGCTGCAAGGCTTTCTTGCGAAGGATCAAGCAGGAAGTAGGCGGGAGACTATGTTCGGCAGTTGCGCACACACACACATTAGGCGGCTGTGAGGGCGACGCCGGTCGCCCTAACTAATACTTGCCGTTCTGGGTTCTTCCAAATTCCGGCCGTCGGGATTGTGAAACTGAGTATGATTTTTCCGAGAACGTATTAACGAAGATGGCAAGCTGCTGTCAAATGTCGACCCTTCGCCTTGACGCCCACCTGCCATGCGAACCAGTCTCATGAGCGAACAGGTGATGCTTCTCTGGAGGACAAAGCCGGACAGAGGAGACGGAGTAGACACGTTAACAAATTCAACAAACAACGGTCAGCACCCCAACAGCAACAAACAGCAGAGTCACATTAGCAAACTGGAGAGCCACAGTCACAAACATGAAAGCACAAACATGAAAGCCCACAGCAGCAAACGAAGTCTCAAGCCAACCCGTCCGTACCCGCAAACGTTAGCGTTTAGGCGTTTGCTGAATGTGTCCTTTGTGTTTGCTTAGCTTCCGTTCTAAGGTTGAACTTTCTTAACGGGTTGGGGCGGGAGTGGGACAGTTTTACTCGGGTCGCGTGGGTAATGACTTCCAGCTTCGTCGTGTGCTGAATGTCACTTCTGCATTTGCGGAATGTGGCTTTTTCCTTTGTGAATGTACTATCGGTGCTGGGCAGTGATGCTCCGATCGCGTGGTTGGTGATTTCTACCCTGGTCGTGTGCTGAACGTTGCTTCTGCGCTTACTGGATGTGCTGAATGTGGCTTCTTCAACCGTCGAGTTTAACAGCGGGGTCGGACGGTGATGCGCGGGTCGCGCGGTTGGTACTTTCTAGCTTCCTCGATTGCTGAATGTGGCTTTTGCGTTTGTTGAACACTGTTGTTTCTTACGTTGAGTTTAGTAACGGTCTGGTCGTGATGTAGTATTGCGAATATGTCTTCCTTGTTGAAACTTCAGCGTCGCCCCAGACGTGTCCAGCAAGGCAAAAACTTGCAAAAACTCGCAGCTGCGAAAAATGTCAAAATGTCATCACTGCACAGGCAAGTAACAGCTTCGGCTATTCTCCAGGACTGCAGCGAGCCTTCCGCCTACACATAGCTGATGCACAACGTGTAGTCAAATTCTCTGCGCATCAGGGTGATCCCGAACAAGAACCCTGCATGAACCCTTGATACTCTTTAGACCGACCAGGCTCATGGCTCGTCGATGCAGCTTTCTGTAGGATCCGAACTGGGCCATCCGCAATAGAACAGAATACGGGACGATGGACGGATGTTGCCTACTAAGGCTTATTTGGCTATCTTGATACGGGGGGCCGATGAGGTTTCAAGGTTTATCGAATTTTCATCAGAACGTCTCTGAATTCCCGCCCTGAAGGGCTGTATGCCACGCATGGTGAGGTCTTGATGCCGGTCCCCTGGGGGAAGTTCTTGAACCAGGACCTGGGGCTGAGCAGTAGCTGCATACTTGCAACTTGCAATTTGAGCAGACATTCAGGATAGATAGCTAGGCCGAAGGCCCTAAGCTAGCCTCTGAGATTCGGAGGAAGTGCATCCGGTAGCCTGGTGGCCGAAGAGGCCGTGCTGGGCACGTGCTTGGCTTCAGATGCCCATAGGCCAACCAAGATGCAACAGAGGGAAAACCTAGGACAAACTCCAGAAAGAGCTGCCTCCACCCTCATGTGTGTTGTTGCTAGCAGGAGCCTGCCTTTATTTTACAACCATTCAGCAGAAGCTGCTCGCTGCGGTTGTGCAGTTGCATGGGTGAACCTGAGTACGCGGATGCAGGACTTCTCAAATGCACCTGCACCTGAAATCAATACAGCGTGCTAGAAAAGTATCACCACGCGTATTGCTTCGCATGTTAAATTACCAAGGGTGGTGCCCCGCATCGACTAAGCAAATTCTGCGGAGTGTATGGCGCTGAAACGAATATTGAAGATGCCCGTCAATACTCAAGCAGTCCAAATGACACCAAAACATACCTAAACCAGCCGAACAAGCCTGCGAGAAGAACCATTCAGCCAACTGCACGACACACCAGCTGCGTGGATGACCACCAATGCTTGTGTAGTATTGCGGCACATGCAGTGGATTAAGAACCTTCAGAGCTTGGCACGTAGCATGGCCACGCACTGGCTCAGAAAATTCGTGCACATGCCCTGTTGGTAGCTTATCTGGGCTTGTGAACGATTAAGAGAAGATGGATTTCCTCCGTTGTAGGGAACAGGGTTTCATTTGCCGGCGCCGCAAAGCGAGGGATCTCTTGCAAACATGCTCGGAAAACAGGTTTGGTTACTGGCAAGAATGGAAAGCGGCCTTGTTGTAACATGTTGGTGTGATTCTGTTGCCTTCGGCAGGATTTTCAGCGTCTTGCTGGTCTTCTTGCAGCTGAGCCAGACACACTGCAGGATCGATTGCGCCACCGTCGTACTGTACAGGGCGTCGTCACTGCAGTCGGAACAGTGAAGTGGGTAAATGACATCATTTGACATCATATGACAAGCCAAGTTCGACTGGTTCGACTGGTCGCAGGAAGATGCCGGAATCCATGCTGGAGATCCTGATGAAGAAGTTGAAGACATGGATATGCCACAGGCATTGACCCTTTGCAATATTCTGGCGAGCGAACAGCTTGAGCATAGGTGCTTTGCTTGCGAAACGTTCAATTCCATCCAGAGGCTCAAGCTCCAGAGATTCTCAATTGTCGCAGATGTGTTAGGGTGTGGGTGGGATTGTGAGGTTGTTCAAAAGATGCAGAGCAAGCACGCCCTTTCAGCACTGTACCCCCCCCTTTTTATATTGTGCCGGTTTGTTTTCGAGAGCTTGTCGGTCGCCATGGGCGCAGCAGGGGCAAAGGCTCTATCATGCCAGCGAACATGCGAAACCACGTGTGTGGAACACATCGGGGCTCCCTGGCATGGTGCCGTAAGCTGGGAAGTTGTAAGCATGCAAAGGTGGACAAGTCCAGACGCATGAGCCCACCATTCTGTCCTTACAGCAGAGGTCGACGTCTATGCTGTGACCCAGTGCGTTAGCTCCGGAGGCTGGAGGGCAAGGGCAATCGTTTGAGCTGCTGAGCCGTCGTACGCGACATGTGAGGCCACCCGGATGGAGATTTGGCAGGCACGGAGGCGCCCGCCACAGCCAGCCTCTGCTGTGACAGTAAGCGGCACAGCTACATCAGGCTGATGTCTTCCGACCCCCAAGAACCCGAGCTGGCCCAAGCTTGAAGATAAGAACCGTGCGCAGTATGCTTAGTTCTGGCTGCAGTGCGAATCCGCAGGCCATGAATGTGCACAAGCTGCTTGTGGCTGCCAAAGAGGGCAGACAGGACCAGCAGAAGCTGTTTTGGAAACATCACATGTCACAGCACCTCCCAACTATGATCAGGAGGAGATTGCCGAGCTCTTGAGCCAAGGAGTTCCGATTGATAGAAGGCAGAGCTGCAAAAGTTTTCTTTGCCGGATGTTGGAAGAGCCTGAACTAGTTGTGCTACATTCCCAGAGCACGTGCAAAAAACTCGATGAGTCGGAAGCGTAAGCTTCCTCTAAAGGCCATTGTGCCGAGAATGTGGCCAAAAATTCTAGTGGCTCACGGAAAGTTTGTCTCTGGGTTGCCTGGCTTGCGGAATCCGTCGACACCCTTGGACTAATAGGACTGGCGCCGTAACTCCCACAGTTGAAAGAAACACAGTGCTGTCGACCTGCATCTATTGAATCCATTATTTGTGGCATTTGCTGCCGCAGCTTTCTTGTTTTGCTGTTCTTCTAGAATCCAGCATTGCAAAGCGAGAGACAACTCACTTGCGTCTTGTTTGCTTCCCTTGCGTGCATGTGCTACTACAGCTTCTGCAGGATGTGACAAAGTGCTTTTAAACACGAAACGTCGTCAGAAGCCAAGAAACGGTGAACAACATCTCCCACGCTGGTTTGGTTTCCATGCTTTGCGGATTGCCCTTTCAGGGATCGGGTTCTGTGTGTTGTTGCCATGGCTCTTTCTTGTACTGTCACGACGTGCTTTGCAATGCGACAGCAGAAGCAACAGACAAGCGCTTGCAACACAAGCGAAGCAGCACAGACAGAGGGACCCACGTGACGCCCGAAATGCACAAGCCATGGCCAAGTTGAGGACCCCCCCCCCCCTCCCCTCCGCCCCCATGTTTTCCAACAAGACGACATCAAGCGACAGTAAAGCGGGAACGAGACGCAAGCGAATAGGCGGGTGATACAAGTTGGGAGACACAGTTGATCCCCCAAGTCCCCTTCGGAACCTACTACTTGCTGAGGGAAATTTGAAAGAAAGCGTTTTGCTCCGCAAATGCCTCCTCGCTTTCTTTAAGCACCATGGACTGTGCTTTCGAAGTAGCGTAGCGATCGTGGATGTCGGTATCCCGTGGACCCTTAAAGTTGAAAACTAACATTCCCATGCCACCACGCCCCATCACCCAACTTGTGGACGTCAGTTCAGCTAGGCGGGTGGCAAGAGGAAGTCACGCAACTTTCAGCTTTCAATGTTTTCCTGTGAGCATTGATCAAAATCGCGCGTAAGTGAGGGCGGCCATTCCAAGGACGGTACTCATCTTAGTCTTAGACGTTTCGGACGTAGGGGCTTGAGGTTTTAGGGCTGTCACATTCCAGGAATTGCAGGGTATCTCATCACCCTGTACGTTTCTGGGTTTAAAAAGCCCGAAAACCCTTACGGCTGCTCAAGCTGCAACACACACGGATGTCGTTGCAGGCGACCATTCTTCATGAAGCGAGAGCAAGAGGTCATCGGACGATCTGGCGATTTGCACGACACCCGACAACCAGGCATGACGGCCTTGATGCCACTGAGGCTGCAACTAGATTCAGCAATCGTACCCCGCGTGGCGCACTACTACAGCCTCCAGCAGCATCCCACCGAGGTATGCAGCTCAATCTGGCTACCCTGGCTGCTGTGCCCGGTTGTTGGCCGGGGCCTCTAAGTACAAGGCATTGCTTTTTCGTACTTGTATGTGGCACTTGGCTTATTCGCTTGCTCATACAGGTCGGCAGAGCTAACCCAAATGCCGAGGACGAGGCACACGATTGCTTTTGATCAGGTGGAGCCGTCTGGCTGTGTTTGTTGGATCTGCTTGGAAGGATGGCACCCGACCGCTTCATTTTGCCGCATCTTCTGGCAGTCTTGACGTTTGCAAGTTGCTGCTCGAGTGCCCCACCACATCAATCGTGGAAATTGCCTCTGCTGGTTGAACGGCAAACGTCTTTCCGAGGTACCACGCTGATGTACGGGACTCTCGGCCCTGAACTCTTGGACGTTCGCTATGTGTCCATGGGTTAGGCTGTTTGTCATCCGGTGGGCCCAACGGGATCTCCAGCAAGTCACCAGCGTCTTCCCATCCGAGGCTCAAACCGACGATGGCAAGGCAGCTTTCGATTTTGCGCCCTGTCCAAGTCCCGCTTCCCTGCATGTTCCCTTCGCCAGAGTGGATGTCCGGGGGCTGTCTTGGGGGCTCCAGAGATGCCCAGGTGCCAGATGATGCCATGCCGACAGCGAAACATTACCAGATGTGGGCCAGTGTGCTAAAGCGCAGCCTGACAGCGAAGGCCATCAAGACATGTCAAGACCAGATTCCCAGTCATACACATGAGGTTCCCGCGGTTCTCGGTGTCATGGTTTTGCTATTGACAGGCCGAGGCCGAAAGAGTACCAACCCCTCCGACTCAGACTGACGGCAGTGGTGATGCAAAGAGTGAGCTAAACAGCTCGCTACACGAACAAGAAGCTCAGCAGGAGCTTCACGGCGAATAACAGCCATGCCATGCTAGGCCGCTCAGCTTGTCCAAAGAGGGGGCAGCGGACTGCATGGTCGAACTGTGATAGCAAAGTTTAGCTAGGGCCAATTCTGAATCTTTTCCATCTAGACTGTCGAACACCTTGTCTCACCAATGTCGTTGGCACGAGCTCCTGCAGAAACAGGATAGCACATCAGAACATTCGACAGAACATTCGACAGGACAGGTGGCAGGACCAATGTTTTAACGACCCATTGTGGAGACCACGACATTGACAGAAAACGAAGAAGCCACGTTAGCGTGGGAAGAGAAGCACGCGCGCGTCTGTGGCGTCAAAAGGCCGGTGGAATGCAGCCAGCCAGGTAGCAGTGATGCTCATGCGAAGTTTGATTGAAGCTGCCGAAGCTGCCAGGCCGCAACGCCCAGCTTCCAGATCCGTGATGGCTGTGATGACGCGGCGAGAACAACGACAGGCGCCCCATCTGATCCACTGGAGCTCTCTGTCGGGTTTTCTGTCGTGTTGCTGGACATTGCTGGACACTTCATGTTGGCCATCTTGGGCGCTTGCGCCACTGCCTCAGACGTTGTTCCGGCAGCTGCACCTGAGCCGGAAGATCAGGCTCGAGAGCACTCCAAGAGAGCACGGATGCGACATTCCGTAGTTTGCATGCGTGCGCATGTGCTGCGGGTGCGAAGTTATAGTCTTCTGTCCGCTTGTGTCATGAGTCGTGGATCATTAGAACATTCATTCGGCATTCTGTGGCTTAGTACCTGGCTCCTGGTCCTGCTTGTTGAAGCATTGAGCTGTTCGCACCGAAATTGCAATGATTGCAGCACCATTGCAGATGCTGTCCCGGCTCCTGGCGCTCGAAGCTGAAGTGTCGCGACTGCGCCAAGGAGAGCCGAAAGCTCGACAGCAGCCGTAAGAGTCACGAAAGCTCCTTGGAGCTTGCGGCTTGTTTACAACCTTGTGTTGGGGCAATTCGCGGCTTGACCTGGTATCTTAGGCCCCCCCTGTCACTGTCAGTGTACATTGTCTTCCTGAGTAGGTGCTCCCCCCCCCCCCCCCCCCGACCCTTGGGCCTTCAGATTTTTGCCTCAACATAGGGATGCTGCAACCGGTTTGGCCCTATACTAGTACAGGTTTTGACAACGCCATACCGAAGACGTGTAGATTTTTGGGGGGGCAGTTCACGGGAACAAGCCCGGAGCCAAACTTTGACGAGTGGACTCAAAACATGTGCGGTTAGGAGCCCCGCCTCCAAGCGAGCGGCCAAAGACTTGGAGAAGCCAAGACCGTGGCACTCGTCACTAGCGTCACTAGCGTCGCTAGCAACGAGTTGGCATGATTTGGCATGGTTTGTGGAAGTGTGTGACAGGCTTTCTCTTTCACCAGGAGCCAGCGCCGACAGCCCGAGACGCGAGAGCCTGAGTTGATGCCTTGACAGAGGTCTCAGAGGCCGGTAGAACAAAATTCACGCCCGCGTCTCTTGTTGAGTCTGGGACGACGGTTAGGACCAGATGAGCGAGGTGCTGAACATGGAGAGGCGCGAACTGCACTGGACTCCAGCCATTGAGCAAAAAGGCTGTTGTGCCAGGGCCAGGCTTTGCTCAACTCGCTGGCCATGAGCCTGTTGTCCGGGAGCTCGCTGTCCGCGCCTCACAGCTTTCCCAGATTTTCCAAGGTGAGGTGCCCGATGGTGGCCGGTAAACTCCTGCTGAGGTTTGCTTCCCTGTCTGATGGTCAGACTTCTCCACCTTGGCTCCGAAGCTCTGCCCCAAGTATCCGAGTTCGTTGTTGGTCTCCTGGCATCTCGGAATCACATTGAGCTTTAAGCTGTTTGCTCTACTTTTCGTTGTGCCGAGACGGCCATGATGGCCATTTCAACAAAACTTCAGCGTTGTGCCTGGGAGTTCGCGCAGGCTCCCACTTACATTTGCGCCTGACCACCTGGCTTATGGTTCGTCTCCTTGCTGGGAGGTAGCAGCCTCCATCTATCCCACTTGACCAGAGGGCCTTTGCGGCATTGGACGTGATCGAAATCGGGCGGCGCTCGGTCTCCGAGCGCGGGGCTCGCGCAGGCAACGTGTATTTTTTCGCGCGCCCTCAGCAGCACGGCGGGTTTTCGGCATGAGCACCTTCGGCGCGCACGCTTGGGGCCTGCTGGGTGATGTTGTCACGTCTTGGAAAGACAACTCGCACACCACAACTGCGCGCATCATGAGCATCAGCGGCTCCAACCAAAAACCCGAAATGAGAATTCGCATCCAGCCCATGGGCCAATAATGTATACCTTCCCCCCTCCTGTGCGTGGTGTGGGATCCCGGTGGCGTGGTTGTGGCTTGGTTTAAGGGCTCCTCCCCCCTGGTGTGGGGCTCCCCCGCCTGTGGGCGCAGTTTCTGGAATCCATCACCCGGAACGTAGGACGCTCTTCACTTTTTCGGGTATCCCGAAGACGTGGCAAGATGAGAGCCTGCGTAAGATTGGCATATGTTGGCATTCTGGCTTCGAGGAAGCACTGTCTGGTGTAGTGTCGTTCCAGTCGGAGCTGACCAAGTGCTGGCCAATCGAGTCTCTTGGTCTCCCAGAGCGACCCTCGAAACGTACGACCTACGGTTTGGTGTAGTGCCTGCCCTGCACACCCCCCCCGCCCCGGGCCGACCAGGATTTAGGACGGTCCTCTACATCTTCATAACATCGCCTTGAAGCTGATGCACCATGGCAATCGCTATGCGTGAGTCTCAAAGGCAGCGGTGCCGCTGCTCTGCCGCAGGCCAGACGCTCGAGCGTACTCGAGTTCAATGAACCGTTCTTGTGAATTTGGAAGCTGACAAGATGCTTGCTGCTTGGCGTAGGCTTGTGCCTTTGCGATCCGGTTTCCTTGCTTCTGCCATCTTCAGGTCGCGAGGTAGCTAGGATGGCTTTGGTAGCCTTGCCGACTCATCCCGAAGAGTGTTGCGCCAGTTGCCCAGAATGGTTGCCGCGGCAATGGGGCGACACAGCAATGCTTCAGCGGTTGCTAGAAGCTGCTAATACTCTTCGAGAAAATGGCGGCATACAAGAACGAACCCGGGAGGCTTTCCGCGAGGCTTTCACTATACACATGCAGCAAAATGATGCGATTCACCTTGCGTTCTCCGCAGCTTTACCCTTGTTCTTCGAAGCTCTGAGACCTGGGGATGGTGGTGGCCATGGCGCTTCGTGCGGTCGTGGACAGCTTGTCTTCAAAAGGGACCATGCATCTGACAACATTGCGGCATGCATCGAGTTGTTGGAAATGCTGCAATCTCTCTCTCGATTTGGGGATCGTCCACCGTCCGATTCCTTTCCCCCGGATGCCCCGCAGGATGCTCCGCAGGATGGTGCAAAATGCCCAAAGTGGCAGTACGTTCGAGAGCTTTGCTCCCAGGCAGCACTGTCACTTGACATAGTGCGCCTGGTGTACTTGGCCAAGCATGCCAGGCGTTCCAGGCTCCATCCAAACAAGTCTCAGCCGTCCCTGGGCGATGTGCAAGAAGCATTGGTCCATACACCTGATGCTGCGGACAGACGAGTTGCTTCGACTCAATTGGTCCAGGATGCTGATGGCTCCCGTCCAGAGCCCACAGAGTTGCAAAACTCGCAAGGCATCATACCATCAGGCCCAGCAGGCTCCGGCGACGGAATCTTGATTCCCAGCGACGAAGAATACAGTCGCACCAGGCAGAATTCTTTAGTGCGGGCCGGCCGTTTCCTGAAGGCATTGCAGGGACCGATGGACCAGCTAAAGGGAGAGCGCGAGAGCTCACAGTCGGACCTTGTCATGAAGAATCTTCTCTTCCCAGCCTTTACAAAGTTTGTGGAGCAGCAATTGTTGCCGCTTTATGTTCGCGACCTTACCATTGCCACTTTGAGCGAGGCTTGGTGGTCTTATCAAAGCAGCTTGTGACAGATAGTGAGATAGTGTACTATAGCTGCATATTGTGCTTGTCCTTAGCTCCGCTTAGCAGGTGACGACATACTACTGTGGATTCGCTGTGGACTTCGAGGATGAGCGTGTAGCACGGCAAATTCTGGGCATCGGAGAGCGTTCTGGCCTGAAGAGAAGACACAGTACGACATCCTTGTCTTCAATGCCGGTCCTCCAGAAGGAGCCAGAGCCGAAGCTTCAAGACATGATTGAGGTCCGCCTTTCCACCTTTGCAGTGTGTCATGAGTCAAGTGAGTCATGCGCGAGGTACGTGCCATGATCTGCTCATATCTGCCCCATATACGTAATGCGAGATCAGTTCACAGCCCCTCGTTACAGGCAGCCGGTGCGGCAAGCAAGAAGAAGATGCGAAGCGAAATGCAGACCTCGGTGATTGAGAAGCGGCGCTATGGCCAACCGGCGCAACAGGATTACTTCGTACCAAGGGCCGTCGCTACACCTGCCAATGCCTTTCGGGCGCTCCGTCGTCAAGATGCCTGAATGCAGCCAGACTTGGGGAGGGCAGGGGTTCTGCATTCGGTTTCTGAAGCCCGTCCCGACCGGATTTACGTAAGGCTTTAGGCAGGCAGGTGGGACCTTGCATTTTTGTGCCCCTCGACCAGCAACAAGCTCGGCCAGGATCTCAATAGTTTCATATTGATCTCATGTCTTTCATTTTGTTTCATACATTCATCTCCTTCGGAGACAAAGTCTTTATCGACAAGTCCAAGGAGTCGACAAGCTCCGTGCCGCCCAAGAAGCCAGACCCGACGCCGGCGCTGGCGTCCAGCGTGTCACCACAGACTCCGCCTCGCGCTACGAGGATGGCAGAAGCCCCGGGAGAGAGTACTCCTCCCAGACGTCGCTTGGCTAATGCAAGCTTCCCTGGTTCCTGCAGATCACTAGGCCGAGATGTTTGTTATGGATGTTATGGTAGCTGCACTATAGTAACTATAGTACTATCTAAGGCACAACAATCAAGTCACCGGTGACTTGGGTAAAGGCTCCGCGTGGAGTCCAGGACGCACCATCTCCAGGCCCTTCCATGACAGCTGCTCGGCCCAGCAAGACACCACGGATGAACTTGAGAGGTTGTATCTCCACTCCAGTTGATACCGTTGCATGCTTTTTGAGGCAGATTGGACTCTGATGCCGGAATGAGATGCCTCGGGAGAGAACACTGCTCCAGCTGACTGGCCGGACGGTAGTAGTATTTCTCAGCAACACATGGGTGCACTTTCAGAGTTGCTTGGGCGGGTCAGGAGTGGAGCCGAGTGTATGCAATTCGCAGTGTGTCGTGCGGCACACGTGACGGTTTCATGCGGGATGAAGGCGAACACGATGACAGAAAAGCTGCATGCAGACAAGGTAAATGCAGCGTTTTTGCTGGGACGTGTAGGCATGTCAGCAAGCTTGTCTTAATTTGAGCGAAATGGAATTGGAGTGCAGCTGCAGGTTGGTGCAGAGACACCTACTCAGCCTGTCCGCGTCGAAGCTGACTCCCGGTGCGGTCGACTCGTTCAAAGATGCGGCAAGTCATAGTCATAGCAAGTCGGAAAGCAGATCGTGCCATCGGCAGGCCACAAGCGGAAGAAAAGCAGGCCCCGCTAGATGGTGTCTGCGATCATTCCGAATGGCTTGTGGCAGTAAAAGGTCCAACGGTGGCAGGAATGCATGAGCACATGATGTGGACAAAGTCCGCCCATGTCGAGTACGTTCAGTACTGGAAAGCTCACCTCAGGAAGCAGTCGATCAATCTTCTGCGGCAGTTACAGTGGATTCCGCAGTGCAGGCAGGTCCCCAATGCTGAAAGACTCTTGAAAGCTTGCACAGTCTGTATCTGCCGGTGCTCTGCGATGCCGCACACTCACACCAGGTTCCGGAAGCAGTCGCGGCAGGAGTGCAGACAGACGCGCAAGTCGACGACATTGGGGCAGCGAGTGAAGGGCAGAGGCTGAGCGAGACAGTTCCACCGCCGAGGTCCCCGTTCCCTTCTCAGAGCGCCTGAAGGGTAGAGAAATCGATGTCGTGGATTTGTCACTAACAGCACACGGCTCACCGCATACTGTTCTTTCAAGGACCTCGGATCTTTCAGAACTCTCACCACTTGCAGAGGCCCCGGGGCAACTTCGACCGCCACCAAGAGTAAAAGGGTCCTTGCCAGGCCACCACCGCACAAGTGCTCGCAGAAACTCCCCTCCAAGGCTGTAATACTGACAGTTGGCTGTCCAGTTTGGGCAGGGCATATGGCATTGGCATAGGTGGTTGCAAACGTCCAGGCCATGTACCTCAAGCACAGCCTGCCCCAGCTGTTTCAGCCGGCACACCACCCAACGTCAATCCCGAGGCCAGGGCAATCACGTCTTGCGTACATTGAGAGAGAGCATGGATCGAAAGATGCAATGTTGATCTTTCGACCCGCCGCACTGTGTTGCAGCAACCTTGGTGCCCATATGCTGTGAAAGCTACCATGAGGTAGGATCTGGACCGCTGCCCTCCAGACCCGTCGCAGCCTCTGAGGGCACATGCGGCGCCCGCCTCTAAATTTTCTAATTGTCGATACTTTTTGCGCTGATTGTTGCTGTCGTTTTGATTGTGTACTGCCCAGGCCGCAGCGGCTGCGGCGCAAGCGTCCGGGGCCAAGCCTTCACTTCTGCTCTGGCGAATGGCATTCTTCAGGTCTTGCATTGGCTGCCTTCGGCTGCCTTAGTAGTAGCGGTGGATGTGATTCACTCTTTGAAAACTCTTTTGCAAGACTCTAACCCCAAGACCCCAGTGCTGTACAGCCTTGGGAGGCTTGAGGGTTTAAAAGGCTTCATGGTGCAGATCCCAAACTTCCCAAACCACGGCTGCAGGCCGCAGCCATCATCCTTCTGCGCTGCACGCGTCCCTCGGTTTCCCTTGGTCTGGGACTTAGTGAACAACGTGAGCGCAAGAACTTGCTGCAGGGAGCTTCGGCACAGGTTCCTCAACAGATGCCAGACTGGCCAGTAGGTCTGGGGGAAGACTTTGCTGTGATGGCGCTGCTGTGCTGATGGACTGATGGTGCGGTTGTCTGCCTCGCAGAACCTCCATCACTGCCCCCGCACCTGCCGAAAATGGCAATGCAAGACGGTCCCGGCCCGAGACGTCACTGGCCGCCTCTGCAATTGAAAACTTCAGAGAGGGATCGTTTCGCAGCGCACAACTTCCTTGTGAGATTGCCGAAGTGTTGCCATGGGGCGTTGCCATGGGGCGTTGCCAGGCCTCCCACAGTGGGGCGCGAGTCCGGACCAAGCTTCACGGAGGCCCAGCGCAACAGCACACACATGCACACGTGGTGCTGGCCCCAAGAAATTCGCCAGGCCAGCAATGACGGCCTGGCTCTTAGAATCGAAGGTCAGTGTGAGCATGACAATTTCATGTCCTGCCCGTGACAGGCAGCAAGACCTTGTCCTCCTTCTCCGTTGGGTGTCAAGGTGCGGGCAATAATAAATGTGCACACTGCTGATTGCGATTTCAAGTTTCAAGATGAAGCTCGAGCAGAGAGCATAAGCTCACAGGCATAGTTACCATGGCGACAACCTGCACAACCGCCCCGGCATGGGAGTACAGCTATTGGGAATTCGGACGGCCCCAAAGGTTCTGTCTGACAAGATCTGAGTACGAAGCCTGTGGAGAGCAACAGACAGGGCGAGCAACTGCCAGGGCTCCAACTCTGGCACAATGCAATCAAAGAGCGAGAAGCGGAATCCTTGCCCGTCTTGATTGCTTGGCGGGTTTAAACCGTTGGATGCTTAGGGCGGGTCCCTGCTGCCAGCTTTGACCTTGCTGGTTGCACAAAAGCTCCAGGGTTTGGTTTCAACCATGAGTCATGAAACTGGCAGTTCTGGATGAAACGCTCCCAGCACAGCTTGCTGCAGCTTGTCCCCAAGACAAGTAGTACATCATCAGGTTTTGGTTTTTTTCTAAGAGCGGGTAACATGCCATCGCCCTTGTGCTTCAGGCTTGCGACTCTTGCCTACAAGGCCACATTGCCCATGCTGTGTCTGGATGGCCTTGGCTTGTTTCTTGATGCTTTCAGAAGGTCCTCCGAACAGGGCCGTTTCCAGCTTGGAGGAGAGACAATCCGTCGGGAGGGGGAGTCGAAAGGCGAGCTATTGCGCGTTGCACGTTGCACGTTGCGCGTCATTGCCTGGCAGATTGGGGCACTTGTCGTGCTGCATCGTGCATTAATGTGCCGTAGATCGCTTGCTCGGCTAAATTGGCGTGGCTCTTCGGACTGCGTCGTCTCAAAATTTTTCATGGCGAAGCTGTCATCTAATCCTGTTCGACTGTTCGAAAGGACGACTTGCTGCTCCGGCGCGCCTACGATGTGCCATCCTCGCAACAGACAGCGGAGTGTTTGTTCATCATCAGGGGTTTGAAAGGGGTTCACGGTGCCTCTCAGGTTTACCGGAAGCAACAGATCGATCTGCTCCACCCAGAGCTTTGAAATGGCTTGCGACCGCTTCTCGATGCATGTTCGAGAAGGGTTTTGAAACCCGAAAGCTGGATCACCTAGTAGGACCTAGCATCCCATACCATACGGTTACATTTTTGACCGCGCGTCTTTCTGCGGCTTTTCCTTGCATGGTCATGGCCTTGCACAAAGGGACTGTGCAAGCCCAGCGCTAATGACGTGTGGAGAAGGCTACTTAACCCTTCGACATACAGGTTGATGGACAATGTACAATGTACAGGATGCGACATCCATCATCGCAGAAAGAAAGTTCAGCCAAGCAGCGCATGCCCGCATACTGGTAAGGCAACTGTGTCTCTGTAAGGTAATTAAGGCGAGGTCAAAAGAACGCTTCCATGAGGAACTGTAGCAACTCATTGTCCCCATCCCCTACAGACCCACAGTTCACCTCGCTACGGCTCCCTGAGGGTTACATGCGCTCAGGCGAACGCCGCCCAACTAATGAAGCTCAACATCTTTTCGGGCTTTTGATCGGGTTGAGAGACCAGCAGTCCGCGCAAGAGATGCCTGGTACAGCCACTACAGTATGGTCAGCTGGCAAGCTTCAACATGCATGAGTGCGACCTCATGCGACTGCGCTCGAGAAGCGAAACCAAGATTACGATGACGTATGAGCGCAATTACAAAAGACGAGGAAAGGAAGAGAAGGGAAGAGGAGAGGAGAGAAGAGAAGAGAAGAGAAGAGAGACAGACCGGACAAGGAAGCGGGCCAGCGCAGCCGGGGTTTGGCCTCTTCGCTGAGCAGAAGCAGTAGAAGAAGAACAAGAAGAAGAGAGACCGCGACCCCCCCGGGGGCTTGCCCCCATGGCCCAAGAACGAAAGAAACAAAGACCCCTAGCTGCACCTGCAAGGCAAGCGGATTGCAATGGCGCAACTGTTCAGTTCCGGACGGTTTATTGCACGCAGTGGCTCGACTCACTGGCAATGTGCCACGAGCTGGCGCATGGTTCCACATACATCCTTGCGCACATTGAATACTTAGTATTACTTTGCCTTCTGAAGTGCGAAGTCATTGCAGAAAATGCAGAACAAAACAAGCTCAGCCTTGCACAGCTGACATGGGCAGAGATGCAGCTCTTGGAGGGCAGCTGCCATGATAAGGCACGGCTGCCAACTTTTAACTTTTGTAGCAAACAGTTGCTTCGATCCCTTGGTGACTTGGTGGCCTGTTGCAGGCTCTACCCACATGTTTGCGGCTTACGGCACTCAGTGGTGACATAGTGCTTTCTGAATATCCGAACCGTGCAGTTCCGAATAGGTAGGCACGGGCCCTAGGCAGACAAGCTGCAGAAAGACATTCAGGCTCGCTTCCGTGTGCCTACTGTAAGAGAAGTATAGTTGCTGTAGTCCGAGGAGCGGCAGAGAACTTCAAGGAATTCAGGGTGGTGCAAAACATTTCCCTTGTAGATTCCAACGATCTCTCGAGGAGGCTTTGATAGCTTGGCTTGGGAGAACTCTGAACTCAGGAACTCCGAGAACAGCTGGAGCTGCGCCAACAGGAGAATGAGGAGCAAAGTCGCAAAGCCGTAAAGAAATGCCCCGAAAGCAGCACCAGCAGCCTGAAGAAAGGCGGACACAAGACTCTTAGAGGGGCGCTATTAATTAAGCTTGTGCACAGGAGGAGATGGGCTGGGTCCACAGCTTGCAGAGTGGAGAATTGCGAGAACTTCTTACTGCAGCGCTGGTGCGACGCAGTGGAAGCCCATCTTTTAGAAGAGTGTGCGATGTGCCCCCCGGCCCCAAGGCCGTTTACGACAAGCAGCTGTACAGATTGGTGAGTTGTACGATCAAGTCCACGTCGCAGAGCAGGAGCAGACCGGCACGCCAGACCCCGCGCAGTGTAACTTATCACAATCACGCGTCAAGCGGTTGAGAGACATTGAAAGAGATTTGTCAACAATGGAGAAGCAGTCAACAGTTGACAGGAATGAGGAATGCAGCCACAAATGACAAGCAAGCACCTCACAATGCATCCGTGCCAGGAGGCACCTTACAGCCTCACAGATCATTGAAACAAAGGCGGAGACGCTGCGAGCTTCCGCATTGCCGCATTGCCAAACACATGCCTTCTGTTCACCACGTTGAACGGCTGCGTGTCCCAAGCTGTGCCAATCCGTCTAGCACAACGTAGCTCGACACATGTAGAAGCGACAGGAGCAAGATCGACTTTCCACCGAGCATCACACCCGGTCTTCAAGGGCGCGACAGTGAGCCGGAGCTGCCATCTTTGACGCCTTGTATGGCACATTAAGTCATTAAGTCACCGAGGCGGAAGCAAGCAGAGAGTGAGACAGAGCAATTTCATCATGGAGAGATCGAGGCCTTCCAGGCGCCTAGCCTGCAATAGCCTGCATTCGTCGAGGGAAAGGTGGCAACTGCTTCATGCTTCTCCTACTGGTAGCTGCTTGGACAGGTCAGAACTGAGCTGCTCCACAAGCTGGCCCTTGGTAAGGAGGTCGCCGCACCCACTCTGATCCATCCCGCAGCAACCAATTGACAAGCCACGGAAAGTACATTATGAGAGAGAGAGAGGGAGACTGGGCGATCTTGGGGAAGCCTCCCCGGGAAAGGGGACACTTATACATGTCTCACACCGACTTCAGACACAGACTGGGCGCGCCTTGTGCGCGGAGAGTGCATGCCCGCGCTCTTCAAGCCCTGGAGAAGAAGAAGAAGAAGAAGAAGAAGAAGAAGAGGGGGAGAGAGAGAGAGGGGTTGTGCTTTCCTGTCATCCGGACCCTGCTTGGCAGCTCAATTATTGGCTCGTTTTGGACCTGCACCTAGCTGGCAAAATGTGGCAACAGGAAGTGTGCAGCAATCTCTGTCTCGTGAGGTTGAATGACCAACTCACATGGAACAGCGCAATTACACACGCACACACACACACACACACACATATATATATATATATATAGAGAACCCATGCTACACGCAACAAAACTTGATCTTCAAGGTGAAGTATCCATGGAATAATTATTAAAGAGGGTCCTGCCCGTGCTTGTAGAGGTAAATAAGTCATGGCGCCGCATGTCGCCTTCGTACTACGCCGTGGGCTCTTGGGACGATTGGACAGCGTTTCATTTGCTCTGCTTCGACAAGGCCTCAAGAAACAATTTTGAAATTGATGTCGCACCTAATGCGGGGGGTCGCAGATGGCCCACAGAAGGGATGGCTGTGCAGGACACGGGTCTCCATGGGGCGAAACTTGGTGCACATGTTATTGCTGCTTCTTCGGCCAGACTGCAAGAGGTTGCTAGCACACTACAGTGTTAGTAATGTGTTGCCATGATCTGTCTACGGGCCCCCTGCTGTAGTAACAAACACCTCCGTGTCTGCTGAGGACGATGCCAGTCCGGAGGGCACCCGGGGTAGAAGAGTTCCAGATCGTGGAAGACAAAAGTTGGGCACGGCGTTACTTTCCAGTAGACGGAGGCACCAGCAACTGCTAAAAAGAAACTGCCGAAAAAGGGGGACAGCAACAAAACAAACAGCATGAGGCCGATCGATTGCAGGGCCCGAAGAACGGCATGGTGCCAATTGGCGAGCTCAGATACCCTGCCACTGCCGCGACCTGCAGGCAAAAGTTCTCAGCCGGGCGCACGTCGCATGCTTGCCTATCCTGCGGAATCAAACAAAAGCGCCGTTGAAGGTCACCTGGGATCCTGCAGGTCAACGCAACGTCAAGCCTCTCCACCTGCACAGAGAACCGATGAACAAACAGTCCTGCTTTCGGCTCTGAAGCACTTCGTGGACGATCATGATGGAGCTAAGGTGGCAGTTCATGGACCACGCCGGAAGGCCTGTAGGACGTCCCGTGGACAGTCGTAATTCCTCAACGGCAACATTTTTCCTCATTGGTCGCTTGGTCGCAGTTGTCCAGGTGGCCGCTGCTTTTGCGATGTTTGTTGATGTGGAGCTAGCTGCAACGTTTTCTCCAGAGCCCCGCGATAAACAAGGATGAACAAGGTTTCATGATCCAGGCAACACGTTTGCGTGGCGGTGTAGGGGTGTTCTCGCCTGAGGCTCCTGGAATGACTGGCAGGATTTTGTGGAGCTGCGGCCACGACCGCGGTCACGCAAAGAACCATCAGTACTCAGTCTGTTGCGCGGGATGCCACGCGGAGAAGATGAACGCCACTTTACGGAATTCGACCAAACTTCAGACGAACCCGTAGAGTCCATAGAGCCAGCTGCAAGGTCTTGGCACGTTGGAAGGTCTTCGTTGAGCCCAGGCAGCGATCAGATACATTGCGGCCGAATTCCAATTCACGGAGCGGGTACCGTGGAACTGCAGGCCCGACAGTGCCCGACTGCGCTTGCCTTCAATTCACATGGCGCTTGTGACACCGCTGTACCATGCGTGCGAGGTTGCGCAGGGACGTGATTGGGAACAGCGCTTCTATCCTGCCGATACATCCTCAAATGCCCAAATTCTCGGACCATCACGCCCTCCGCATGGCATGAATTGGCGAATTCATGTTCCTGACCGCTGCTGGGATCGGAGACCTAGTGTTGAGACTCATGTTTTTGACCAAACATGAACTTCACATCATGTCTACGCTTATTTGACCATGCTTGGCTTGGGCACTTTCCGGAAATGAGAGTTTGGGGGTTCTTTGATCGAGAAAGGAACCCTTCGCAAACGGACTAAACCCCGCTAAAACCTTACAAAACCCCACCAAAACCTGACAGGGCTCACTAAAATCTGGTAAAACCCCTCTCAAAATTCGGACAAAGCCCCATTAAAACCTGACAGCGAAAAGCAGCGTGTACATCGCACCAAGTCTTGTCCCTCGTTTTTTGGAGAAAGCAAGATGGAGAAATCTGGGTGCGATCTACGCGCCTGGCTTTTTGAGATAACTACAAGTTTTTGGGTCCCACAAAGTGTTGTCAATCGTTTAAAATCCCCAAACGTCCTGCAATCGAACTCTTCACCCTGCACTCGCTCAAACATCAAGCTGTTCGGGCTCAGCGGGGTTGAAGGCTCCCACGGCATTCCCTATGTTTCCCGTTTTTCGGCCGCCCTCCCCCGTGTTTTCCCGTTTTTCGGTTATACAATCATATACAGTAATGTTATATATGATGATTATATGTAATGTTCAATGGCCATTTTCCCTACGAAATCCCTGGGTTTTCCCATGTTTTTTCCCTCCACTCGTCGGGGGCAGCATGCGTCGGATTGTTTTAAGGCTTTTCAGCGTTTCCGACAGGCATATGGTGAAGGTAAGGAGCCGTCGATCAAAGAGGCACAACGGGGGGTTTTCAAGAAACTTGCCCAGGTTGCAGGTGGCTGAGTATTACCTGGACCTTCGGCAGCAAGGAAAGCAGGAGTTCCTCAGCTGGCAGCTGTGCTTGGCTCTTTCCCGGACCACCCAAGAGACATAAGAAGAGTTCCAAGGTGCTCTTTCCTGGAAGTTCCTGGACCAAGAAGCTAGAGAGATGGATATCTCGCAAGAACTCGACGTGCTGCTCTCAGGTCCCGCAGACATAGCGCAAATTGCACCCAAGCTTTGATTCTAAACTCTGGCAGGCTTCCTTTCAAAGTGACCAGTGGCACATGGTGGCAAGGTCTGGCCAACCCCGTTGATTTTGCCTCAGCCGTTGGCTCCTGGCAGCTCCGGGTTGATTTAAGTAGCCGCATCCAAGACACTGAAACCTTGAACTGCCTAGCATGGCCTTATCTCTTGTGTGATTCTTGTTACGTTGGTTTGTGACAAGTGATGACAAGCAAGCGACCAGCAATTGACAAGCAAGTGGTTGAGGGCTGGAACCATGTAGATGCTACAGCTTTTTACAGCTACTGACGACAACCGGCACAGAAGTCGTCTTCGCGAGCCTTCACAGTCTGCGCCATGAAGCTCATCAGCGACATTTTTCATAGCCACTGCGGTGGAGACGGAAAGGTCAGCCCCAGCACACTGAGGCAAGTTCGGGCATGGAGGATGCCATGTGGTTCTTTTGTAGAAGCGGAGAGAATTACCAGGCTGTCAAGCGTTAGCGGCTCCGTTGTCCTCCCGTGGTAGTGTAGGCATGTGTAAGCAATGTAAGCATGATGAGTCAGTATGAATGGCCTGCCTTTTCCAGTGCCGCGAGTAGCTGCAACATGGCATTGCTGTCAGGGAGCTGCTTGTGTCTCTTGGCGACCACAATCTTGGGATATGGGACACAGCAGACGTCGACACGATTCTGGCGCGATGGAGCGATAGAAGCGCAATTGACTTCGACGAGTTTGTGAGCTGCTAGGTCGCACATACCGACTACTAGCAACGCAATATAGCATGACATGGCACGATGATCCTTGCATATGCTCAGTGTATACAGTTTTTTTTCTGGCTGAGCCATGTGCTCCCTCCCCAGCTCTGTGGAGGTTGGGTGTACCAAGATTGTGCTTTGCTCTCCCCGCGGGATTGCACCGACGAGTGCCATCACAGCCCTCGCCATCTGACAATCAATTTTGACGTGCGGCTTCTTTGCAATGGCGCATGCTGCACACCACAGGTGTTCGTAGGTGTTCGTGCCGCTTCGTGCAACAGCAATGTGAATCGAAGACTCGTTCTCCGCTGTGATGCGGTCTACAGCTAGAAAAAAAAGTAACCTCATGTGGGCTTTATAAGGAACAAGACGCTAGTGATGCGAGACAAGACTGCGGGCAAGTCCGTGGAAGTGGTCATCAACGAGGCCAGAAAAACAGAAAGCGATAATTATTTTACTTCGAACATCCGGGCACTTGAGGGAGTCTCTGGGGTTGGGAATTTCAGGGAGTCTCTGGGGTTGGCTCCAACGTTCTATTCTGGATTCTAAAGTTCCTTCTGTTCAGGTGCTGGCCGAGACCTGCTGGGGACGAGTGGAAGACGAGAAGTGGATCCTTGAGTCTGACAAGCAGCCTGGCATCGTTTTGCCTTGACTCGGAGGTCCTGGGCAGGTTTCGTGGTTGTTTGTCCCTCAACAACCTCCAGCACCACCATTTCATCGAAGCTTTGGAGCTGTGTTGCGCCATGGTTTGTGGATGTTTGGGGCAGAACTTGCCAAGAGCTGGGGTGCATTCAGCTGAGGCCTTCCTCCCTACGCCCGGAGACGTATGTCGCCGGTGGCGAGAGCCTTGCCACTTGCACTCGTACAGTGCTTGCCACCTCATACTTGAATGCAAGCGCCAGGAAGGTGCCAAAGCAAAGCATAGCAACAAAGCATCGCTGCCGCCTGTAGGTTAGCTACGCGGAGTTTCTGGAGAAGACGATGCCAGGAAGTGCCGCTCGAAAAGACCGGCAAAAGCTGAAAGGCTTCAAGCAACCAGCATACTCCATGTGGATTTTCGCATGACAATGTGTCAGGTGCATGTCGAACATGTTCGCAGCCCTGCTTTCGCCAGGCGCCTTTAGCCTGCCAGGGCATCCAGGAGAAAGCATGGAGCATTCTCACAAGGAGTTGTGCAAGCAGCTGATTTATCCAGCCCCCCGGACAAAAACCGTCGCCGGTTTGAAGGATCCGAGTGCCGCTTGAGAGCATTGAGAGCATTGAGAGCATTGAGAGCATGTCCCCAAGGATGGATCGCCTGTTCAAGTGGTTCACGCCTTCTTCCGCTTGCTCGCTGAGCTGAAGCGATCCAAGAGGCCCCCCCTTTGCTGAGCGAAGAACGGCCATGGGCCATGCCCTGACAAGGTGCTGTGCAAGTACTGCTAGAGGTAGTCAACACCTGCTGAAGACGACTCACTCTTTTTTCTATAGTCTCCAAAAAACGTTATGTTCATCTCTGTTCAGGAAAAGCCCAAGATAATGGTTGACACTTGAGACAACATTCTCATGATGGTTCTAAGGAAAGCTGTTTTGTTGAGACATTCTGTGGCCAAAGGTCCTTTTGCCTGATCTTTCGAAGCTTTGGCGAGGCTGGAACTCGGACTAGCTGACCACACCAGTGCAATGTTTGCCACGCATCCATGCCTCACCCCCTCGCCGATAGTTACATTCATAATTTCACATTGTTCATACAGGTTCATACACCATCCGCTTGTCATCCTTATGTTGAGACAGGAAGGCGAAGTGTTGAACGACAGGACTTGGAGCTGGTGGCACGAGAGCTGAACGCATTCTGTGAAGGGAAGCATCCGATGTTTCCAGGACTGTCCGATGAACCTGTTCATGCCAGAGTTAGCCTGCCGACATGCGCTGTGGATGTTGTAGGATTATGCATGGACGGAAGCGACGGCGACCCTGACTATCGGTTTCATCTCACACACCCAGAGCGCTACGGCAACTTCCATGTTGTGCCTGAGCAGCATACGTCCGGGCAAACCCGGGCACAGCCTTGTTTTTTTACTTTTTTTTGGAGGAGTGGAGGACACTGAGATGCGCCTCTTGGGTTTTTGCTTGATACCGCTGCCGAACCAGCGTGTCATGTTGAGGAAGACGACGAGCTGCACCTGGTGCTGGGAACCATCGAACAGCCTGGAGAAGGACGTTTCAAGGACTGCCATCCCCGTTGGATCGCTAGCAGCTATCCTCATCCGGCTTCTGCACGGTGTGGCCGTCCCACCTACACAAAACAGCCGGCATGCCCAACACAGGACGTCGAGGACAAGAGCCTTGCCTTCTTCCAACAACATGAGTTGCCAGTCCAGAAAATCATTTCAGGGACGCGCCGCGCTCAGCCAAGCCGAGCCAAATCCATAAGTCGCGATGTGTGACTGTCCTTGTTGGTTTGGCCAGGTCGGCCGTGGTGGACTTCATTTGGGACTTGTCGTCAAAGTGCGTGACAGCTGGCTTCAGAGACAATTTTCAGTTCTGGAAAGCCAAGAACCACAGCCAGGACTGATAACTGCGTCTGCCATGGCAACATATGGCAACAAACACAAGCGAAGCAATTTCATAGTCATGTGACGTGTGCTTGCTGTCACTCGCTGTCCCCCTGCAGCCTTGCACAGGAGGGTGGCAAATTTTTCCTTTTCGATGCCTCACGGAGCACGCAGCGTCATGAGATGTTCTTTGATGACAATGTGCATTTCGACGACTTGAAGATCGTCCGCCCATTTAACAGGCAGCTCTCAGAGAGCATGAGATGTCGCGGTTTGTTTAAGCATGATGGGGACGTTGTAGTACTTTACTGGTACGCAGAAGTATGGGTCAGCATTGTCAGCTATTCTTAGACCGGAGAGTGGAGATAGTCCTTCAGCGTTCTGCTCTTTAGCTTTTCTCTTGCAAGCAGGCTTCGACAACGCAAGTCCTGGTGGGGCCTTCCGCTGCTGCAAACGCACGTGTGCAGTCCTGAGGGTTCGAGCACTGCCTCATGAGTTCATACTCGCGACAACCTATCCAAGCTACCTTTTTTTGAGACAAAATTGGTTGCACTAACGGCAGCCTGTGACAGCCAGTTCCAGGTGCAGAGCGGATGCTCTCGCCGCTATCAATGACGACTTGTACTTCGTCGCAGAAGTCCAAAGGCCCGTACTTGTCATTTGCGTGGTGCCTTACTTTACAAGTGGTCAGAAAGAAGGATGGAAGCCAACTACGAGCACAAGCTTGCAGCAATACAGCGCTGCAGCAACTGCAGCTTGGCAGTTGGTTGAGTTGCGCTGAAACCCCGAGACACCCCAAGACCATCTGCAAGCCTTTCAGGTTTGCGACGCCTGCCCAAGCAGGGTGCGCAAACCGTTTCAATCCCTGAGCTGCAACGCGATGGGACACTTGGCCATGGTACATGGATGCTCATACTACAGCGCCACATAGCTGCCGCATTCAGCAGAACATGTAAGCTCTGCAAGCCGAGGAATTACGATGCATGGGAGGGCCTCCGAAGGGATGACAGTGTTTTGCCGCTAACATCAGACGCTGATGCAGACTTCTTCTCGCCTACTGCCCTGAGTTCTAAAGGAACCCAGAAGTGAACGCGGGGGTTGAGTTGCTGCACTCATGCAAAAGCCCTTGCAGTTAAAGTTAGCCTTGTGCCCATGTCTTGTGAGGGTCACACCAGGCAGCTTTAGCGAGCCAGGGGCCTTCTGCACAAAAAGCTGGCGTGACAACAGTCGCTGAGCCAAGCTCTTGATAGGCCGTTGCAGTGAAAGCCTCATATATTGAATATATTGCTGATGGCACATAGGAAACTGTAGTGAGCTGTGGGAGTTCATGCGCGGCTGCATGTGCAGAAGGCTTGCAACGACTTTCGGCACCACCATTGCTCTGCACTTGTTCAGAGGGCACATATTGCCTCTGCACAACGGACAATGCGCCATGTACCTTTTCAAAAGGAGTTCTCCGGGATGGCATGGACACCGACATGCCAAGAAGCAATAGCTACACTAGGCTACACTGCCACCCCACTCAGAAATCCTCGTATGCTTTTGCGACTCTGAGCTCTCAGTCTCGGCGTGAGAGCTGTCACTTCCTCTTGAGAAGCCGGCAGCAACTTAAGCACATTTGCACTTGGTCGGCTTCCAGACAGGGGGGACTTGGATGAAAGCACACTGCCTCAGTAGCCTTATTGTCTTTACACGTCCCTGCCTGCTTTAAGGACGGTCAAACATCTGCACGATTGCATACTGAGTGGCATCCACTAGCCTGGAAGGGCAGTTGCAATGTGCCCACAAGGAGTTGAAGCGCGCGATGGCACACAGTGGGATGAAGAACCCGGAGTCCTTGACGTTCCCCCCAGGGCCGCCCATTGATTGGGGCTTCGAGCGTCTCATTCAGATGAAGTAGGTGTAGGGCATATTGGGCATAATTATTGGGCATCTAGCCCTCAGTCATTTGTTGACCATGCGAGATACATTTCATCCTCGGCAGGCAAGGCCAAGTAATGAGCTCTTGCTGTGTCATGAGGGCTGCGTGCTGTCGTGCCGCTTTCTGCAAGTCTGTTTTGAAGCGTTGAAAAGGACCACAGGCTGCACAGGCTCTGACTGCCCAGGTGCACTAAGAGCCGCCCAGAGCCACCACCTGCACCCAACAAGGCATTACCTGCAAAACAATTCCATCCGGACGTCAAGGAGATGCCAGCGACTGCCTCCCGCTTGCAAGGGCAACTTTCTGTGGCTGAAACGGGCTCTACACATATGCCTTGCAATAGGGCCTGGCAAGGCGCTCCTCTGGCGAATTTGCGGCGGCTCCGAAACAAACGGCCACTTGGTTTGAATTCTGTTGTGCTAGGCTTGGTGACGCTCTCCCTCCCTTCCATGAACTGCTCCACGCTGGATCCAGATTGCAGGGCATTAGGATCAGGATCCTTTCAACCAACATGGAAGTGCTGGCAAACTGTGCATTGTTGCATGTGCAGTTCATTCCCATCCTTCGTAGAGACGAAAGGAGACGAAAGGAGTCAGCGTGCGGATTTTTATGCCGAGAGCAAGCACATGCAAGCACACTATCAGAAAAATGACGAGACACCAGCCTTACTAGCCCAACCCCATGGATCAGCGGGTCCATAGCGAGCCCTCGGCTGCAGTCGGCCATGGGAAAGAAGGCCAGAGCTTTTCACAGCATGAATGGCGAAGCGTCATTGCTTGACGCACTGAATAGCTGCCACCGGCAGGCGTTGAAGAGACAAGGAAGTAGCAAGGTGACTTGACTGTGTGGCTGGGCGTTCCATTGACCGTGTTGCTTTCCTGCTGTGCTTAGTCAAGGCCCTGGCTGGAACGCCGAGTAGCACAACCAGCAAAGCCAACAAGGCACTGCGGCAACAAATCATGGCTCCGTGTCTTCACCCGTGCTGTGCTCTGTCGTACGTATCCTCCGGCGCGCATGGCATTCGGAAATCAATGAATCAGATCGCCTGTCTTGCATCACAGCCTTCGTTTTGCCCAGTGACCTTTCTGAACGATAATGAGAAGCTTCATGATTGTCGTGTGATCGGCCGCCTTATCTTCTCGAGGAGATCAACCTCGATGATCTGCTGAGCGACCTAAGCCCAACCAGTAGCAAAGCTGCCACTTGACTGCAGTTGCGAATATGGCAGTGCATCTCTGTGTGTTCGGTGTCCCTGGTGGTGGGGCTTGCGTCTGAGTCAATCTGAGTCTTCGGGAAAGAAATCATCGAAGAAAAAGGCCGCCGAGGTTGGGGGGGTGATGTTCACCCGTTTGGTGCATATCGCTCGTATGAAACAGGCGGTTGGGGGCGGAAGTCTCTAATTAAAGGTCCTCTAAGGATCTGATTCAATATGATTAAAGGTGGTGATGTCCCCAAAAAACTGTCCCACGAGCACACCCCAAGGGCGAGCCCAAGTCCTATTCACGAAAAGCGGAGGTGCGAACACAGGAGAAGACGTCCGCATGTTTGATCTCTGCCGGAGGAGCGTCGTAAGGCCGAGGCTGCCTTGCGGCTCGCTGAGCTGCAACGACAGGAGGAGACTCGGGCGCTTACAGTGGGCTTACAGGCTTCGAGTCCTAGTGTGACAAGTGTGACGTTGACTTCGCATGACTTGTTTTTGACGTATTGGGGCCGGTGGTTTCGAAAAGAATGGCAAAGACTGGCACCGGCCTATCAATGCCGGGGAGTCAACAAGGCGACCTGAGTCCGACCCGCAACCTCGTGTGCACACAACAGCAAGTACCCTTCGTTTGAGCCGACACCTTGCACAGCAGCATAAAGCAGCATGATGCAGCATATGTTTCAGGTTCCACATCCGACGACCCTTGAGCCCTTGAACCTAACAGCCACTATCACATCATATCGCACCCCTACATTCCCCACAGTCGTTTCTTCATGTTGCGTTGTGGCGGGCGAGGCACATGGATGCCCATTGCACATCAGGTTGCGACCAGTCACACCTGCACTATGTCATATCTTGTCATCCCTATGGGGCCCTCACAGGAGGAGGCCGAGCAGCAGCTGAAGAGCACCCTCGCGTTACAGGAGACGGAACTTCGTGTGCACCGCCCTGCTCTCAAGCAGAGGTTAGGCGGTGAGTCGAGAGCCATACAGACAGATACAGACAGTCCTTGTGTGACAATGTCAGCGTAGACACCTGGATTTTGAGCGGTGAGGACGAGATTCTTGAGCGTGCAGTGCGGGCAGCCAGCCTCGCCAATTCTGCTGTTGCGGCAGGCTGGCCGAACATCTAGCTAGTCAATTCCCCAGCAACATGATCTGATGTTGACATGAGCTTCCAAAAAGCGTGAAGGAACAAAGACTTCTTTGGATTCTCGGGAGGCTTTCGACACTCCAGTGCTGTGCAAGCGGATGGCCGCCACCCATTTGCCATGATCTTCATGACATGTCCATGTGCAATCATGCAAACCATGTTTAAAGGAGCTCACAAACGCAGTAGTAGTAAAGCGACGCATCAGCAACGACACCCAGCTCAGGGAAGGGTTCTCATTCCGGTTGGGATCGAGGTCCAGGCTAGGGCGGGGCGGGCCAAATTGAGCTCAGCCACCCCACCCCTTACTAAGCCAAATCAGCAAGGGGCACTCCTTCGCATTCCAGACAACCTCCTCCAGATGATGGAAGCTTCTGCTTGTAAGGCTTGCTGTGCTTTGGAACATCCGGACGGGGTCAATGCCATTTGCCAGCAGAGCTCGGCCCTGTGACCGCGGTGGCTGCTGGCAACGTGGCTTCAGTGGCCAGAAAAATTGCGATGTCTTGAACTGAAGCAATTGTCATCGGCTCGACATGGTACACGAAAGGGCCCGCTGCAGGCAATTTGCACACCTGTGCCATTCAAGCAGATGGAACGCTACAGTGCTTTGGAGATGACAGATGCTTGGCCGATGTGCTTTAGACTTCTTTTGACTGTCTGCCGATCAAAACTGAAACGAAAGCAGCAACAAGATTCTTGCAACTGAAGGCTTCAGCCAATGCAGGGTGCCTGCTACCCTTGGCGCTGTCGCATGTGTGGCAGCAGGGTTTGGTCACACATGCGCTGTAGACCAGCAAGGCAGGGCGGACAGCTGGGAGAGCCTCCGTGCAAGAGTCCGAGAGCCAGACTGCAAAAAACAACCGCTCTTTTACGCTGGTTTTGTCCAGGCCAGCTCCATTGCTTCGGCGACAACTATTACGGCCAGTGCACCATCCCAGAAGAGCTCAAAGAATGCGGCCGATGCAAGGCTGTTGCAGCAGGTTTCCGGCACACCTGCGTCATCACCACAGAAAGCCGTTTGGTGTGCTTCGGTGATAACGGCCTCTTGTCTCAACCATGTACCAACCAAGAAATACTGTACCAACATCAACTAGACTATGACAGAACAGTGTGTATACAGACCGGAGCAGCTAGGGCAGCGTGGACCAGCTTTTTTGTGTGACGGGTCCAGGAGATTCTGTGTTCTGGAGTGAGGCTGCGGCCAGTGCAACATTCCAGCGGACCTTGGTCCCGTGAGGCCCTGTTGTGTTGCGACCCCGACAATGCCGGAAAGCTATATGATTGGCGATGATGCGCAGTGGCGTACAGCACAGTCTTGTCAAATGCGCACCAGTTCCCAGCAACAGGCTGGTCGCCGCGGGTGACTTTCACACCTGCGCAGTGACAAGCACCGGCCGGCTGCATTGCTTTGGAAGTAACGCCTCTGGCCAGTGTGACGACCCAAAGAGATTGCAGGAGGTCATCGTGGCCTGGATTGCGAATTCTGAGCAAGTTGCAGTGATTATGCCCCTGTCTTGGCACTTGCGGCCTCGTGTGCCCAGGCAGTCACTGCTGGCTCGAACTATACGATAGCTTTGTCGCTTGAGGGCAAGATCTCGTGCTTTGGTGCCTCTGGGCATGGGCAGTGCGATCTGCCAGAAGAGCTACAGCTCCTGTTTCCACAGGACCACAGCTGGGCCTTGAGCTGGGCCTTGTGGCAAGATGGCCTTTTTTTGAATTGCACAGCAAGCAGCCAGCACTGGGCCAGCACGCGTCCCCAGGAGCCAGAATATCTCGAGGAATTGAGTTCACCAAGTTTGGGACTCGAGGCCGCAGACCTCCCTCTGGAGGTGCCGCACCAGTGGTCTTGCAAGTGGACTGGTACGCCTGGTAAGCAGATGTAAGCAGATTGCACCCTCCAGGACCTACAGGAAACTGAAAACCCCGACTTGGATGCCCTGCCGCCTTGCTTAGCATTCAGAATGAAAAGCCCTGCAATTGTGTGGCTTGTGTGGCTGTGGACTTGTGTGTCAGACTGGCCCGGGTGCACAGGCTTGCAGAAGACGCAGCCTACCCACCGGAGGCGGATCCTTGAGCTAGCAAGTCCAATGACTGGCTTCACCCTAACAGGGTATGTTACGGTGGCCTGATTTCATAGATAGAAGCACAGAAGCTGAGGAGCAGTTCGGAATGGCCTCCACTATGGACAGCTTTGCTGAGAGCTTCACCACCATGGACACTTCAGCAAGTGAGTATCAGGAGCGGCAGTAGTGTGCCTGTGCCAAATCATGGCCCCACGTGGGAGCATGCAGGAACCATGCCCCTGCAAATATGTTCTTTGCAGGAGGCCGAGCCTCCGGAAAAGAACGCTGAAGAGCAAGCTCAAGCCAGAATACAGGCCGAGACTCTCCACATCCACATCTCCCCACATCTCCCCACTCTGTGCAGCTCACAGCACCCGTCTGACAACATGTGGTGACAGTTAAAGTCCTCACCCACAGAACACGCCCAGGCTTTGCACCTACAGGTTGCTGAGGCATGGGAACTGGCCTGGACCCTACAATGCCTACAACTCAAGTAACCACCAGAACACCAGTGGTCAGACGAGTCGTAGTACAAAATGAGGCTTTGCGTCGTAAATTGGTGGCTGTTGAACCCTGTTGAAGGTGACTGCAATGGCACAGCGATTTGCAGACAAAGTTCGAGGGCTGTCTGCCGGCAGTTTCCACTGCTGCATCATCCTGGCAGATGGCCACGCGGTATTCTTTGGTGCTGCCCGGCTGCACCGCTCCCAAGCGACTGTGACAGAGTAGTGTCTGACAATGATTTTTTTGCTGCTTTCTGCTTCATGGCCAGCACTGTGTAGCATCGCCAATCCAAGGATGACAGTGCCAACCAGTGCACGGTGCCTGATAGTTTCGTCCCTTTGATTCCGCAGCTGACAGACAGCGAGCTTCCCTTGGCCGTTCTAGACACAGGCAAGCCCGCAATTTTGTTGCCTCCCACTTCAGAGGAGGATTCTCTGGCCGTGACAGCGGCAGCCGAAGCTTAAGAGAATTCATTGATGCAATTCATGCGCAGTTTCATTGGCGCAGTTGTGGCTCTGAGAAATCAGCTCTCTGACAGCCGAAGGCTTCAGATGCCTCAGAGTTCAGTTTGTGCATGTTGTCGTGCTTCATGCAAATGCACAGGGGCACCAGACTCCTAGTCCTAGACTATCCTAGATTCCTGGATTCCTCATGTTCTGGAGAGATCTGGAGAAGGTAGAGAATCTCAGACAATCTCAGCATCCTGCAACCCAGTGATTGCCATTGAGTGTGGGCGAAAACCTGCGGCTGGAGGAAGCAAGTTGCCACTTGCGGTCACCTACTAACAGTTTGCATAGCTGCATTGTGAAAGCATGAAGGGGGCTTCAGTCTAGTCAGTCAACGGGGTGATGTGAGCCTGTGTTATCTGTTTTCAAGGACAGAAGTGGGCCCAACATAAATGATCTGACTTACAGTGACTTACATGACCTGCCAGGGACCCTTGCCTTGGCCACCCAACATCTGAAGCACGAAGGTCAGCATTGCTTCAGCTCACGCGTCATAAATGTTATAGCTCGGTGCACTTTTTGTTTGATATTTGGCTGCCACTGGGCCGAACTTCATAAACGCTTCGCGCACTCGCCCCCAACGGTACAGCTGGGAGCTGGCCAGTGGGCCCAGGCAACCCTGTCGAGCCTGTCGGGCAACAGGTCTGCAGCAGGTCAGATTTCGAGAATCTTCGAGACTTCGTGTAGAGGGCATTAGGAGTTTAAGGGGCATGAGGGGTAAGCGGCAAGTGCTTCAATTGCCCATTCCGCACATTGGCCCCTGGTCCGAGTGTTTAAGGTGTCATTGTTCGCATGGGGCCCGCCATCCACTCCCCTCAGGCACTGGGCACAACTGTGGTCTGCTCCCTTAGTTCGCTTGAGAAAACCTTGGACTGGACGTGTTGGTGTCACGGAGGCAGAGACTCGCCTATCCACCGGTTCCATCGTCTGGGAACTCGAATTGCGCGGAGCAACCTGGCATGCATGAAACATGTCACTACGTCGCCACGCGACAAGGCCTTCTGCGGCTTCTGGGGGCTTCTGAATTGCTGAATTTAGTGCCTGTATCATCAAAGTTACAATCCGCAGCCATCGAGTGACTTCTGAGCTCAGATCCGAGGCCCGCTTGCATTTCCGCAAGCTGAGAGGCAAGGCTCTCTGCACACACCTGGCATCGCCTGGCCGAGCGCTGCATTTGATCCCTGTGTTGTTTTGAGTTTTGCCAGGCGAAGGTCCCACTGAGGGCTGGATCAGCACCACTGTCAACCGGAAGGCCCTGCCTTGAGTGCATCAGAACTCCTGCGAATAGCAGAGTTGCTCCTTCAACATGTTTCCTGAAGGTACTCGCAGACCGCTGTGTACTGGAAGCGTCTCGTCGTGACCAGAACACAGGTGACCATGTTGTTAGTCAGGGTGCTGCATATGACAATGCACTTGCCATGGACCATCGATTCAACTTGCAGAGATGCTCGTGTCTTCACTGCACGATCACGAACATGAGTGCTGTTGTAGGGGGCTGCGTGACGTTGGGTTCAAGTCCAATCTCACCTCCCTCCCTCTACCTACTTCCAGCTGTCACTCAGGAACACCCCGTGCCTGGCATCACAGAGATGTGCCAGCGCAGCTTGAGCTGCTGCTTGGCACAACCAGCACAAACCCAAGCCACATGCATGCGCGCGAAACCTAGGCGAAAACACGATTTTGAAGTTGCCGCATGCCGAAAACACTGCAAATACCAATGTTTTCGATGCTTCACACGATGGATGCACAGGTCCCAAACTCGACAACCCTACCACCACCACCACCACCACCACCACCACCACCACCACCACCACCACCACCACCACCACCACCACCACTAGCACCACTGCAACAACCGCAACAACCCCGACAACCCCAACAGCCGCAACAAGCCCCACAATCCCAACAAGCCCCACAACCCGATAGTGCGCGCCACTGCGGCCTGCGGGAACATAAGGCACCCCCCCCTCCCTCCCCCCCCCCCCTTTTTACGCAACTCTCCACAACCCCCACAACCCCCACAACCCCCACAACCCCCACAACCCCCACAACCCCCACAACCCCCACAACCCCCACAACCCCCACAACCCCAACACCCAACAACCCCAACAACCCCAACAATCCCAACAACCCCAACAACCCCAACAACCCCAACAACCCCAACAACCCCAACCGCCGCAACAACCGCAACCACCACAATCCAACCAACCCAATCAATCAAGCTCCACAGTTCTTGTTTTCCATCTTTGTATCAACACCAAGTCAAGGAGGTGCAGTAAGACGTGAACGGTCAGTCAAGGTTGGTAGAACCCCCTCTTCAAGTCAATCCCAGAGACATATTCAGCACAATCGTGTGTTACGTATGGCCCACCATATTCTGCTTTACTACGCTCAGATCATCACAATATTGCATTTGGAATGCTAGACGATGCTAGATTGCATTCTGTACTAAACATTTGAGGTATTTTGGGGTTAGAGTTTAGTAATGCTGTTGTTTGGATTCGGACTTTGGTTTCCGGCCAGGCATCTTCCGCACCATCTTCTATCTGAACAAACTCAAAGACAGACGTTTTCGCCGGCGTCCGCAGGTCAGGCAGGTCCAAAAAAAGTGTTCAAGCGGCATGCCAACCATGCGGCTGGCAAAACAAGAAAAGCGTGTGTGAGCATCAGTATCGAAAACGAAAATAACCTTGATTTTTAGAACAAAGCTATGCGCGGTGATGTGCTTTGAAAAGCCGGCAACAGTGACAAATGTGGATTCTGATCGCTCCTCTGTAGGGCCATGCCTCAACTGCCGTCCAGTGACAATGCCTAGTTCTTGAACATAGGCCATAGGCGAAAGCAAAGGTTTCCAGGAAGTCGAGCAGCTGAGTAGGAGCTAGGCAACTGTTGGAAAAAGGAGCTATTCAACTTAGGCAACACCCGGCACATCAAGTCGGCATTCTGCGACGTCAATGACATGGAGCTCTTCGAGGCCCTCTGGTCTGAGCTCGATGTTTCGGGCAAGTACAGGCCGCCTGGTGGTGACTTGGTGAGAGAATGAGTCTCTGAGGCATGACGCACAAAAACGCTCAAATTGACGCTCCGTTGCGGGGTCAAAGAAGACTTCGGAGAGTCTGCAGTTTCCCTTCTTTGAAGCAACATTTTCACCGAGGCATGGCGTTCGTTGACAACCGATACAGGACGGAAATTGACTTGGAGCATCTCGGCAAACCTCGCCATCCGGCGCGCGCAGGAGATTTCCACACAAAGCACAAGGCACAAAGCACAAGGCATTGCTTTAAGCGCATTTGCAAAACTCTTGAGGCTTGTCGCGTCTGCTTTCATCCTTCGGACGTTGATCGTGGCTTGGCTTTTGGTCTCGCTCTCAAGTCCCCCTTATATATGTCCCTCTACACTAGAGTCACTAGAGTGGAAGATCCGCAAAGTTGCTGTCAGACTCCGGAAGGCCACGTTGAATGTGGAGATGCTCATGTGGTGGGCGAACGTCTATGAGGATGGTTCCAGCGGCTGCGATTTTCATCGCGACTGTCATCTTCGGTGACCTGTCCTTGAGGGATGAGTCATGTGAGGTGCCGCTCCGGGTCGTTTTTGTGGCCTTACTTACACGTTCGTGGTTGAGATTCCTTGTGCCCAGTCCAACCAAGGCACAATGTGAATGTGACAGCTGCCTGGACGCACGCATTCAGCAAAGACTTGTACAACGCGCCAGAAGCAGTTCAAACGTGCAGTGCCTCCAGTGCATGTGCGGTCATGTGCAGCAGCTTTCCATAACCAAGGTCAGTGCCTCTTTTGGTGCAGCGCGCAAGGTGCTCAGCCACAGGGCAGTTTGCAGTTCTCGCTGCAGTCACGGATGAACTGTCACAGCGTCACACAGTTTTGAAAGCTAGGAGAGCTGGTCTTCCGCCTGGAGGAGGGAGAGACCGAGCAGCAGCCTTGCAGGGAACACTGAGAGCCGAATCGAACATGCACCTCGCTTGAGATCAAGGATCCCCTTCCTTCAAGCAAATGGCGACATCATGGCATTCAACGACTGGGTGGATGACCACTTTCTGCACCGAGTGTACCCGCAGAGGGTGGGAGGGATTGGGAGGGGAGCTTGCGAGCAGCAGAAAATGGCATGAAATTCGCTAAATGGCGGCCCAGTAGCGGTTGTAGCGGCGGTTCTGACCTTGTTTGCTGTTGCTTCCTCCTGAAGGAGGCTACAGGCCCTCGCATTTCCATCATCCTGATGGGGCGAACCAGCATCTTTGCAGATCAGGCGTGGCTTGGGGTCGTCGGGCGAAAAGCCAAATTTCATCTGTGTTCAGCACAATTCAGCATGTGTACGCAACTAGGATGAGAGGGAAAGGTTCGAGGGCAAGGAGAAGACAAAACATTTCCAGCATTCGCGTAGAGTGGAAGAGGCTCAGACGACATCTCACAGGAACTCAGCGGCTGTTTCCAAGCAGCGCAATGTTATTGAATTGGGTGGGATGCGTAGCTACGAAGACCAAGGCTTGGTTTTGCAAAACCCTTTGATGGCCCTTTAAGGGACCCAGACCGGATGGGCAGCTGCATCTCACACATTCTCACACCAACACTTGGAAGCACTGCCTGGTGAGCACTGCGGTCGGAACCAGGCACTTGTTCCTGCTGCGTGTTGGCTTGACAGATATACATGCGAGTCTTGACACCACTGGTGCAGGTATTGGAATACCAGTGTGGGTCATCAGGTAGGCTACCGTGCGCGCCCGCCCAGTGCGAAGGCACAACAAGAACAATGAAAAAAAACGAGCGCGCAAAGCTTACTTTGGCAAGAGCGTGTGGGAAGAGCCGGCAGTTCACTACTCGGGCGTGACCGTAGGGCGAAGAAGTCAAAGCAACTGTACTTGTGGTGACCTTCTGATTCCAGCCTCGTGCAACCTCAGACGGACACGCTGGTCATCAAGCAGCACCATGAGCTTCTGCAACAAAGCTGCGCCTTGTCCATATTCAGCGTGTGCATAGGAGCAATGTCTGGCTATGTCCAGGCGCTCCAAAACTGTCAGCCGGTACTTAAACTTAAAGTTTCAGCCAGATTCGGCTAGCAAAACACCCTTTCAGGCCGGCGCATTGTCCGAGATTCGCTGCCTGCAGTACTTCAGCGTGAGGCCACCTGCAAGAATCTTGACAAGCCTGGCATCACGATTTGTCACGAAAGCTAGCTCCTTTGAAGCTTGCCGGAGGTCTTGTTTACAAACTCCAGGGCCTTAATCTCCAATATTTCGGAGATTTAAGAGGGGGCGTTGTGTGTCCGTCACAAGGCGATCCCCCCCGGCCCACTGAGGCCCCCCTGGGCCTCTTGTTGAACCGGTACTTTGATTGATGTTGACACACGGTTGCTCTCACACAATCTCACACATGTGCTGTTTTGAATCGTATCACACAAGCTCACCTAGCACATACGTCGTTTGATGCCCGCATGTGCTGTCTTGATGCGCTGGCCTTCTGCGAGGGAACTAGCATGAACTAGCTTTCGTTCGCCATGCTCTCAAGTCATGTCGATGCGTGGCAACGAATTGAAGGCAAGGCTGCAGGAGCACAAGGAACATCTTGAAGCGCGGCTAGCAGAGAGACGAGTGCTTTGGCAGCAAGGAAGGGACCACTCAGGTTTGGACAGTGGACCTCTGATGCATCGGTACTTGTTTTGCAGACAGGCAGGTACGGTCGGGTGACCATCTTACATAAGATCCTGCTGGAGTGCATCGCCTCGGCTCCGTGGAAAGTCCACAGAGCAACTAGTGAAGCTCCCCGATGCTAGGACCATGCAAGCTGTCGGGGTAAAAACTCGTGCGGGAGCTGTCAGGTTCCATTATGTTCCACGGACGCATCCCAGAAGAGTCTCTAAAATTCAGCCGAGGGTCCCTGAAATTCTGTACGACGGAAGCTGGCACAGCCTGCTGAAAGACCGCGCTTCCATGGTCGAATCCCTCCTTGAACCAAAGGCCGTCTCGTTCCAGGGGGCCCATGGGGTCCCTAGCGGAATCCAGGAGATCCGCAGTGGGGGTCCTGCCTGCGGACCAAAAAAACCGGCATTTCGGGAGCGGTACTCAGCAGAAGCACCGGCACCTTTCTGATGTCCCAGCGTGGACCCTAGTCCGGATAGATCATTGGTGATGTCGATGTTGTTGTCGTGATTGCGCACACCAGCATAAAAGATCCGTCTTGCGGCAGCATGAACAGCAGGCCAGGACGAAGACAATGTTGACCGCCACGGCAGCGAGACGCAACAGTCAACGACGACGAAGAAGCGGATCAGCAGCAACAAATGCAACATCGCAACGAAATGAGCGCCCTCCCCTGCCCAGCCCCGCGCTTCTCTTAGGGAGGTGCATGTTGAGCGGCACAGTGCAACTCAGGCAGCCACCAGCCTCCAAGTTTGCACTGGACTGTTTTTGAATTCCTGGACACCTCTGCAGCAGCAACAATCATGTGGCATGGACCGGTATGGACTTCAGAGTTCAAGGTCTGAACCCGCTCAGTGCTCACACGAGCATTTGCTCCAGAGACACCATCAGGCTGGAAAAGGACACAATGGTTTGTGCATGAAATTTGCCAGTGCGTCGTCGCAACCGTTGGTTCCGCACCTGCAGGAGCTGCAACACACTTCCGGAAAGCTGCAGGCATCCAGCGCAGCACGATATCTCATGCCACGTGTCATCTAATTGTGTGTTCAAGACCTCCGGCCGCCGTTGTTTTTCACACGCCAGGTTACACCAGGGCAGAAGGCAGTAAACGGCTTATGGGATGGGCAAGCCTGATGCAAAAGGGAAAAGTTTAGGGGCCTTCTCTTTATTTTGCTTCGAGGCTGAGAAGGGTCTCGCTTTTGGGGTGTTGGTACTCTCTCGTTGAGTTGTTGATGTCTTGGTGTCAGGCTCCACGCTTTTTGTATATTGGCAGTACTAGAGAGGTAAAAGATAAAATGTTTCAAAAATACCGACATAGAAGCTATTGAGGGGCTTGAGTACTGTTGAGCGAGGGTGCCCGGCTCCCATCCGCACTGTGCAGACACTGCTCTTTGCAGCATTGCGGCATTGCCTTCAGCACAGTCGAGACTTGCCAATGGGGAGTCGGGGGGAAGATCCACTTCTGGTGGTCCTGAGCAAGAAGGAACTGGGAAATTCTGAAAATTGATAAAATGCCTCCAAGCTGAGTTTAGTTTTTGGAAGTGCCCTTGGCTTTATGCTTCCAGGCGCTCCGCGGGCTGGCCTCCTGCCTGCAGTTGTTGTATTTGTTGTGAGTGGTGCAGTACCCGCACTCTGCAGTAGGCTCGACATAGGCTTCCCATGTCTTTTCTGGGGGGTCTTGCGAACGTCGCAGGTGGAGCGGGCATCTGCCGATGCAAACCAAGAAGGGGCATGCCAGTCCAAAACCAAAAAAGAGCGCGGGGCCGGTGATGACGTCAGTGCTCCAGACCACTCTTCCGCTAAATTCTGTAACCGGCGGCATATGCTCACATGCCTGTCGGCAAGCCCGGCGCAGGAACACGAGCAGAAATTGCACGCCTTAGGTTGTGCAGAATCAGAGAGTGAGTGGCTCAGCTTGAGCTTGGGCTTGAGCTCTTGAAGCTACCAGCTATCCTACACAGACTTGAATTGAGTGTGAGGCTATGCCTGCTGGCTGAGACATCAGCGAGCGATGACTCGTTCCATGCACTTCACCACAAGGTCACAACGCAACAGATCGATGCTTGCATCAGCATGTGCATGGCGCAGGTCATTTTTTTGATTTTTTTGCGAATCACACACGATGCTTGGAATAGCTTCCCCTCGAGCACAACAGCAAACGCGCAGTAGAAGACCCATGACGGGTGCGGAGTTGTAGGAAGAACTACGCATGCACGAAGCGTTGGCAATTTGCCTCGAAACGGGGACGGGATGCGAGCACCAAAGCCCAAATGAATCAGCTGGGCGAAGGCGGCAAAAATCGTGAGCCATGCGCACCCAATGAGGCTCAAGGAATGTTATTTCTCAGAGGCGCCCGAACACGAGAATGCCTTGGCTACGCCGTTGACATCCATTCCCTGCCGTAAAGAACAAGATGAGGTGTAGAGTGGGGCAGAGGGTAGCTGTTGTCAGCTGCATGCATCTACGCTGGTGAGCGAGTGTCCCTTGGTTAGGCTGGCCGAATTGTCTGCCGACTTGGAGGCACCCGATCGGTGATGCCTTGTGATCTAGTGAAGTGCGTCCACGAGCATATGGAACTGGACATTGCGGGGTTGCAGCACGGCTGCTGCACAACGAGGACTTGTGGCACCAGTCCGAAACTGCTGTTGAAGCTGGCAGCTTAGTCTGTCACTGTTGAAGCTTGGCTCTGGAGCTGCATGGGCTGCGAAGTAGACTTAGAGCCGGTTAGAGGTGCGAGATAGGAAAGAGTGCCTCGCGCGGCTTGCGAGGAGTGTGAGAGGTTTCGAGGCGGGGGTTGCTTGGCCATTGCTGTGGCAACCTGCAAGAGTCCCGACCTGAACACACAGGTGATTGGACAGAGGCTCGAGCCCTCGATTTGCAAGCAACAAGACAGCCACTTCCTTAGGAAGGGCCTTGATTCCCCCGGGTAATTCAGGCTGTGCAGCTTGCCACCGTGGAAAGAGGCCAAGTGGAACAGGCCAGGGGGGGCCGCAAGCACAAATCGTCAGAGGCACCTTCAGAGCACAGATATTGCATGCTAGTCGCTGCTAGTCCTCCCAGGTTCACACACAGATGAAGCAGCTTCGGGTACATGCGGCTGGGGCCTCGAGCGGAACCTGCAGCTGCTCGTTCTGCTTGCACGCCAACGTCAGGCCACAGCCGAAGCCCGGGCGGCGGTCCTCTGCCTGGAGGCTGAATGCCTTGTTGAAAGCCGTACGAAGTGCTGAGATCTACGAAGTTCTGCCCCCTTAAGAGAACAGGCAGTGGACTCAGAAGAGGCCTCCAGCGAGCTGTGGCAGTCGATCGCGAAAGTGGAAGGCCAGAGTAACAAAGGGAGACATCAAAAAGCATAGCAGGCCTTACCACGAAGCACTGTCATGGGCATGGACTCGCGGCCGTGGCATTGAGATACCTGGGGGCAGAATGGCAGAAACGCCAGGGACCATTTCTGTGCGGGATCCTCTGCATTCTATGCGGGAGGCTACTCCAGAAATCTCTGGGGGTGGGCACTTGATTCTCTAGGGTCGGGGTTCTCTAGGGTGGAGCACTCCAGACTCCAGAGAGATGTACATATATGTTTTTTGTGGGATTCTCTGCGGCAATTTCTGCGGGGGGGGGGGGGGGGGGGGGGGGGGGGGGGGGGGGGAGGACACCCAGGTGAGGAAATACTTGAGTTAGAGTCTGGCAACCTCATACCGAGGGTGGAACTACGTACACCACAGAGACGAGCTGTTCTCAGCAAGCTGTAAGGGTTTCTTAGCTGAAAGTACCGCAACCCTCCCGGATCCAGAAGCAAGGCCAGGAAGCAAAACAGAAAGCACTCAGGGATGGAGAGTGGGGAAGAAGGGAACAAGGCAGATGCAAAGAACGACGGCATGAAATAGCAAGGAAAGCAGCAGGGAAGATGTGCATCATGCACTTCGTGCACAAGACCGAAAAGTACTCTTGGAAGCAAGGTGGCACAACAAAATGAAGCAAGATGGAAAGAATGATTCAAAAAGTTAAAGCAACGCGCTGCCCTGAAGCCAAGGCGAGCCAGGCCGATTGTAAAGCTTTGTTTCAAGTTGCGAAAAAAAGCTGGTTGAAGTTCTTAAGTGCTACTCCCTCGTTTCGGAAAGCGCATGGGA